ACCTCACACAGCCGCCCCCCCCCAACAACAGAAACCACCCATACAAGCGCTAATCAGCCAACGATTTAATGATTACAACCCGTGGCCATCCTATAATTCGTCTTTTAATACCAAAACCCCCCCCCCCTCAAATCATGAAGCGGTCCCTGTGAGCCTCGCGCCGATTACAAACATCAACTAGACGTCGATATCTTGCCCCCTCTGGGGCTTTGCGCTCGCCATGCCGGCACATCGAACCCGCCTGGCTTTCGAGCCCCTATCGCCTCTTCTCGACATTCGTGAGGTTGTTGAATCTACCCCTAATTTCGAGTTTGCGATGAATATTACCTGTGACTCTATCGATGAATTTCCGCTCGCAGACTTTGAGAAGCTTGTCCTGTTCCAAGTTGTCCTGAGCGGAAAACCACTGGTCATCAGAGGATTTGATAAACATCTTGATAAGCAGATTTTCTCAGAAAAATGGCTCCGAGAAAAATATGCGAAGAAAGGTAAGCTCACGCTCTTGAGTCTTCTCAACCTTCGTTGGTTGATTCTAACTGCAACCTCTCTTAGTTGAGGAGGTTCGAGATCTGGTAAAAAAGAGGACCCAGAACTTCAGTATGGGCCATTACCTTGAAAACCTACCACTTCTCACGCGGCAGATAACTGTCCACAACTACGCAGACAAAGTAGTCCAACGGCTCTACCTCAAGGACATCGACTGCCCTCCTGAGTGGCACGCTTACCTTGAGAAACTGTTACCTCCTTCATTGTTTTACCTCAACGAAGCACCCAAAGCCTTTGAAGGCCCTGCGTCGGGAAAGACGAATCTGGCTGAAATCCCTAGGACCCCCCAAGGCGACCTCATCGCCCCAGCGGGCGATTTGATGAGCAGTCTGCCCCCAAACATGCGTGCGGAGAACCTGATGTGCTACATTGGCCATGAGGGTACTTACACACCAGCACACCAGGAGATGTGTGCCAGTCTCGGTCACAATATAATGGTCGACGCGTCCGACGGGTCTCCAGAATACGGCAAGCCAACGGAACCGGGTTCTTCAATATGGCTCATGACAGAGACCAAAGATCGGCGGATTGTTTCCGAATACTGGATGTCTGTTCTAGGGCACGATATTGACATCGAGGATTTCTTTGCTCCTTTGCATGCATGGAAGATTGCACCATTCAAGACCTGGGTGGTGGAACAAAAACCCGGGGATCTTATTCTTGTACCTCCTCTCGCTGCACACCAGGTTTGGAACCGTGGCACTCGGACAATGAAAGTTGCCTGGAATCGCACTATCGTTGACACCCTCGAGCTGGCTCTGCGTGAAGCTTTACCGCATGCGCGGATGGTCTGCCGCGATGAGCAATATAAGAATAAAGCCATTGTTTACTTCACTCTCGAACGATATTCCAAACTGTTGCGGCAGGCAAAAAATATCGACCACCCGGTGGTGATTCAACTGTGGGACGACTTTAAGCGGCTATTCAGCATGTACAAGAATATTTTGTTGTCTGAGTCATTCTCACAAAAAAACCCAGAGAAGAATGTCGAGTACCACGAGTTTCAAAGCAATGTCACCTGCTCATTCTGCCGGTGCAATATATTTAACAGGTTTCTTACCTGTTCTGGCTGTGCCTACGCTCTCGGCGGCGAAGAAGATCCTTATGATGTCTGCATGGATTGCTACGTTATGGGTAGAAGCTGTGGCTGTGTTTCGAACCTTCAGTGGATGGAACAATTTACATGGAAGCACTTGACCGAGCGTTATGAAACATGGCGACGGTTGATATTTTCCTCTGATGAGAACAACAAGGATTTCAAGGTTCAGTTTCCCACTTTCCTTGTCGCCCGAGGTCAGGCAGGCAAAAAGTCTGTGGCGGAGATCTGCCAGGAGCAACTGGTGCGCCGCCCTTGGAATGACCCTAAAAAGCCCAACCCCGTGGCAAAAATCACAAAAGACGCTGATAGTGAAGACGAAAATCGATCTAAAAAGCGCCGCAAATTGCGGCAGTCTCTCCTGGCAAAATCAAATGACGTCGGCCGCTGTCACGTTTGTCTTCATTTTGAAGTTAGCTGGAAACTCGCTCCATGCTCAAACTGTGACCAGCGTTACTGTTACGGCAGTTTGTTCCGCGCGTTTGAAATCTCCCCACAGGAGGCGATGGAAAAACATCACTGGCTCTGTCCAAAATGTCGTAAAGAATGCAGTTGCGCTGCTTGCCAGCGTGACCCTTCGATGAAACCGTATGAGCCTAACTGTACCATTCTGGGCCATGACACTAGTAAGGTTGCCGATCCCCGCAGTATCGAGACCTTGGTGGATTTCCGGAAATCGAATCTTTGGTGGTTGAAGAAATTTGGTGATGATGTTCATGGACGCATCCAAAAACGCCAGAAGGAAGCTGAGGAAGCCGAACTGGAACGACATAAGACCCTCGAGGACCAGGGCTTCAGCTTCGAGTCCAGCCCATTCGACCAGCCGGTACCGAATGGGGACGGAAACGATGAGAACGAGGACGATGAGAATCTACTGGTCCTTTATGAGGACTACGGGGGAATCCCCGTTGACCCATCGTTGGTGATCCAGGACTCTGTTGAGACCGTAAGCACTTGAAACGGCCATGAACGTTGCTGTATTTTCCGGATTTGAGCATACAACAGAGATTACATGCGCAAGATGATACAGAAGGATTAAAAGTGGGATATGAACACTGAATATTTGCAAAATGGTGTTTGATTAAGGAAATCGGATGTATTATTTGTGATTCCCCGAAGGGTTTATCTCTTCTGCGACAACATGGTTTAAAAAAAATCTGGCTGTACTAATAGTGAACATATATGTATTCAAGTTGGATTGAATTTCTGGCTAGGCACCTTTATACTCGTACTGTAGATCCTTGAGGGATGCAAGGTCAACAGAGAGCATGACCTTTCGAGCGAGTAGAATCACTACGAGCATGGCTGTACAAGGTCAGAGTAGATACCCCAGCGAAGAAAGAGCAGACTTACCTCCAGGAATCAAGTACAGTACTGGTCGGATCGCATAAGATGATCCTGTAGAAAGAGAGACCAAAGCCAGCAACAAGCAAAGCGCACTATTGCCAGGTACCAGAGTCCCATGGATCCGAGCAATACGTTCGGTGTGGAATGTCATAGGTTTCTTGCCTTTGCGATCAGGCTGGAGAGGAGAGCGTTTCATGATATACGCCGTTGTCAACAACGAGACTAGACCGAGGAGCGAGAACAATCGTTCAGCCTGACTGGAAGCTGACAGCACCGAAGGCACAAATACTGTCGCAGCCAGCAGTGGAAGTGCAGTGAAGATCACCTGGAAACATGTTCAGCGTGGATTCTCGAATATAGAAGAAAGAAAGATATGTACACTGTACTGGGCATTCCGAGCATCATTCTGGCTCTGCAGCTGCTCGATGACGCGTTCCTGTTCCTCTTCATCCAACTCCTCTCGTTCGCCCTCCGATTCCTCAGGGTACCGAAACGCCTTGCGCAATCTCACCGCAGCCATTTCTCTAAATCTCAAAGCAGCGTTGTAATCTCATCCGTTGGCGGTGCAGTGACGTCGAAACCGTCCGATCTGTTTGTCTTGTTTGAACACTATTTTCTTCCGCAACCTCTCCACCCCCCAACCCCAACCAGCCCGACAAAACAACCAAACAAACCCTCCAAAACACCACAATGTTCTTCTCCCGAGCATTCACGCGGCGCGCCGCGCTCGCCCGGCAAACCGCCCGCCCCAAGCCAGCCAGCCGCCGCACAATGATCGCCGCGCCAGGCCCGAACGCCGGCCCACTGCTAGAACGCCGTGCAGACCGCGAGCTCCCGAACCCGAAGCCTGGCCGGAAGTGGCTGTATACACTCCCGATCTTCATCCTTACGACTGGAGCGGGCATGCTGGGCATCTTCAATTACCAGAAGTCGTCGTCGAGCATCGTGAACAGCACGCTGTATGCGCTGCGGACGTCGCCGCGGGCTCGTGAGATCCTCGGCGACGAGATCTACTTTGCGCAGCAGATTCCGTGGATTAGTGGCGAGATGAATCAATTGCATGGGCGCATTAATATCTCGTTTTGGGTTAAGGGGACTAAGTCCCAGGGCAAGATGAGGTTCCGAAGCATTCGGCCGGATCGTATGAGCTATGTGAGTTTTTGATTTATTTTTTTTATGGTTGTGATAAGTGCTGATTTGTTTTGTTTTCTCTTCTAGTTCCGTACTGAGGAATGGAGTCTGGAGACTGAGGATGGAAAGGTGGTTCAATTGCTTGACAGTGATAGCGATCCCTTCCGGAAGAACTGAAGATCGGGGCGAATATCGGGGAGAGAGTGTACAGATACAGCAGTGCATTGGCTCGGGCGTTTAGGGTCATTCTTTATGGGACCATTTGTTGCGTTATCAACTTGGCGAAGCCACTGGTTTTTTCTCAATGGCTAAGAGAAAAAAGAAAGGATATCATTTTTGTATCATATACAAACGCCGCTCAAGTCAAACAATATCGCGCGTATGGTGTAATAGTACATGGTCAGAACTAAGAAAAATCTCCAATTAAGCAGTAGCAGGTTCCGTGGCAGGTTCAGCCGACTTTGCCTGTGGCACTTCCGGCCATGGCTTCTTGACGGCATCCTGGATTCTCACAACACAGCCCTTAGGACCACTGACGGCGCCTGAAAAATATAAGTTAGCAAAATTGACTTCGAGAGGTCAGAGCATCTCTAATCACATACCGCTGACAACCACGATACCATTCTCAGAATCCACCTTGAGAATCTTCAAGTTCTGCACAGTGTTCTGATTATTTCCCATGTTTCCAGCCATCTTCTTTCCGGGGTAAACACGGGAACCACCGCCCTGACCAGGACCCGAAGAACCCATCGAACGATGCGTCAAACTAACACCGTGACTGCGATCCTGACCATGGAACCCATGTCTCTTCATGACACCCGCAAAGCCCTTACCCTTGGTATTAGAGCGAGCATCCACAAACTGGCCCTCCTGGAACCAACCAGCCTCAATACTCTGCCCAACAGGGAGAAGGCCTGCCTCGTCCTTGACGCGGAACTCAAAGATATGGCGCTTCGGCGAGAGCCCATTAACCGAGAAATGACCCAGCATAGCCTTGGTCACGTTATTCGGGTGCTTCCAGCCGGCACCGACCTGCACCGCATAGTACCCGTGTCGCTCGCGGGTCTTGTGGGAGAGCACCTCCACACGATCCAGCTGCAGGACAGTGCAGGGGATGCGCTTTCCAGACTCCGGATCGTAGATGGCCGTCATGCCCTTCTTGATGCCGATGGCGCCGGTGCGGAGGGGCAGGGAATAGGCCTTGCGGAGGAGAGCCGCTGTCGACGTCGACTCGAGGACTGGTAGTCCGGGCCCGATGTTGAACCGACTGGGCTTGGGCGGGTTGAGAGATCGGATTCCGAATGACCGCATGGGGATCCGGGGCGTGATCAATGAGCTCGTCCATACGGGCGAGAGCTGAAGTAGCCCTCCTAAGCGCGGCGACATGGTGGGTTTGATATTGGGAGGGGTTTGAGTATTGAGGTGCTCGTCGTGGCTGAGAAACTCGGGAAGTTTTTGGTGTTGGGCTTAGTCAGCGATATGCACGCCGCCCTGAAGTATACAAATCCAAGCTGGCAATCTCCCCACGCGTTAAGACATAGTTAGCTAATACCAAGGTCTTTTAACAAAAAGAAAAAAGTCGATAGAAATCCTAACACCCATCTACAATATCCCATCCTATCTACAACCACCAACCCGCCTTAATCCCTAACTCCGGCATACAGAGCCGCAAGCCCGATCGGACCGGAAGCCGAAAACGCCGAGAAACACAAAAAAACCCTCCCATCCAGCGTTCCATGACCGCTCCATTCTCAACCCCAATTCGCTCCCGGAAGCACACAACACCCTCACCAAAACCAACGGGGCTACCAAAACCCATCCGACCATGTCCGTCCGCCCAACCCTCCTCGCAAAATGGATCTCGCGCCCTAGCTCGATGCTCAAATCATCCCCAAGCTTAGCTTCACATCTCCAGCTCCACCTCAACCCCTCAATTCGTCCATCCCTCGCACGCCGGAGCACGATCTTCCCGCACGCGCACGGAGCACAAGTAACAGCGCGCTTCTCGACGCGCACCCGCCCGACACCGACACCGAGCTCATTCCAGCCCAAGCCCAAGCAGCGCCGATTCAACTCCGGGTCTGCTGGTGATGGCAAGAACTCTAGCTCTGGATCTGACTCTGGACCTGGAAATGGAACTGGGTCCAGAGGCGGCGGCAAAACTAAACCGAAACCTTCACTATCCCAGCGTCTGAAGTCTCTCTCGCGCGAGTACGGATGGGCTGCGCTGGGCGTGTATCTTGGCCTGTCGGCGCTGGATTTCCCATTTTGTTTTGCGGCTGTGCGGTTGCTTGGTGTTGATCGTATTGGGTACTATGAGCATGTTGTTATTGGGTATGTGAAGGATAAAGTTAAGAGTGTGTTTCCGAAGACGAAGGGGTCGGAGGAGGAGGATGGGCAGGGACAGCTTGCTCAGGCTGAGGAGCGGAATCAGGAGGAAGCTAGTAAGTTTGTTTCTGTTTTGGTTTAGGGCTTTGAGGTTTGAGTGATGAGAGTGATGTTCTGACTGATGGTTTGTGTTCACGCAGGTATCTGGACGCAGTTGGTTTTCGCTTATGCGATTCACAAGAGCTTTATCTTCATTCGCGTGCCTTTGACGGCGGCTGTCACGCCCAAGGTTGTGAAGACGCTGCGGAGGTGGGGATGGGATATTGGGAAGAGAAAGCCTAAGAGTACGTGAAGTGAAGTGAAGGGGATGTGATTGATTATACAGTAAGTAAGTAGCATAGCGGGAGATAATAGGGCCTGGGATTCGGTCCATTGTACATTATTAGCCATTCAGCTCTCTAATACGGCAGTTTTTCTTTGCCTTCAAAACTCTCAAATGCTCTTGCTCTTGCTCTCTAGACGATCTCACTACATGTAGTCGACAAAGCCAAACCCAGATAAAAACGCCAGCCCTATCTTCAGCGCCCAAGATGACTAGGAAATGAACAAGCCTAGAACGCAATAAAGAGAAGGTCGCACGCGCGGGACCATCTCTGCTGTGAAATAAATAGCCAAGAGTAAGATAGGAAAAAAAAAAAAGCAATTCTGGCGGCTACTAAAGCTCGTAATCTTCGTTGAGAAATTAAATTTCGACGTATCGTATGTAAAAGGTGCGTAGAGGTAAATCGGATCACATATCGATCATATCGTTAAATCTCAGAATGCCGTTGCCTCTCATCACACCGTTAACACCGTCGGGCATGCGGTAAGCCCATTCGGCAACGCCCATAGTATCAGGAGCGGGTAGTTCTTCGAATCGATTCGAAGTGACCTCATCAGAGGTATCGGCCACAAGCACGAGGCCAAGCTCCTTGATAGTCTCGACGAGCGCGGGGACGACATTCTAATTGGTCAGCAGAGAAAAAAGAGGCGGGAAATAGGACAAACATACCAGAAGGCTTGATCTGCAAATCAGGCCCATGAAGTTGTTGCTCTGGGCAATACGAGCAGACTCCTTAATCGACATCGAAGCTCGTCCACTGCTGTTGACAAGGGGCATCGAGTTGACGTTCCCAGCCAGGTCCCGGATTTGACCGAGATCGTTGCAGAGAAGGACGGGATCTAGTCACAGAGTTAGTATCACACAAATTGGACTGTATTAGGAGACTCACAGTTGGGTTGTTTCCAGTTGAGAGCACTGCAAATGTTCGGGTTGTATGAGGTGAATACCACGGAACGCATGAACTCGGGATTCTTTTCACGGGCCACACGGGCGTGGTCGAAGACATCAGTCAGGATAGCATCGGCAAAGCTGTTGACGTCCGCCAAAGAAGTCAGGTCGAGCTTCTTCTCCTCCGCGGCGGATGGGTAAATGAGGGAGATGTTGACATTCAAGTCAATAGGGATGTAGCGCAAGACATCGCGTAACGATAAGAACGACGTCGCCAAGAGTCGATGGGTCTGCGCTATGTCAACCGTCGCTGATTCTTTCAAGAACTCGAGGATCTCGCTAGGGTTGAAACCGCGCTCTCCGCCAATGGTCTGGAACTGGGCAAACGTCAAATGAGAGATTGCAATGTCGATTCCATGGTGGTTGATTGTAAATTGCGGGTAAAGGACTGCCACGCGGTCCCGGGTCAGTTGTACGAAGAGCTGGACGTAATCTCCCGACAAACTGGAACCAGTCACCAGTCCATTATGATCTGAATCAAGAGCACTGGTGGCCTTCCAGTATGTAGCAAAGTGGGTGATCTCCAGGGGATCGCCGGGGTATGGCTTGATCACTTGGAACTTGAAGCGCAGCTGGCCGATTGTACGCAGCCGGGGGTCGAATAGAGGCAGACAGCATGAGCCAGTGCTGGACGACTCGGCGCGGAAGATGTCTGGCAGGGCGACACTCTTTGCAATCACCTTTGAACCGAAGGTAGGGAAGATCTCAAAGTCCACGGCAAAGGTGTCTAGGTTATCCACGTGGAACGATATTGTGCGTGTCTCTTCCTGGATGGGTAGCATGATAGTACGAGGGATGAGATCTGACAGCTTGGAAGAGATGGTCATACGAGCGGCAGGATGACGGCCCGCCTGATCAAAGATGACAGACCCGACATTTCCTTGATCGAACAGAAGTTGCACAAATACTTTCTTGTCGAGGAAGTTGTGACCATAGCGGCGGAGAGGGATAATGGGGGGAGGCAATTCAAGGTCCGGGATACCATCTGTCATTTCCAATTCAGAGACGCTCGCAGTCACAGACAGCGGGTCGCCCAGACCAGGTTCATGCATCCGCACGCCATTGAGAATATCAAGAGGTCCCAGCGCGGGTTTTTTCTTGGAGGGCTGGGCCCAGAGAAGGAGCATGCACTCTAGATGTCCTTCCCAGGCAGCATAGTACATAGACGAGAGGCCCTTTTCATCTACAACCTGGGCATCAACCCCGCACTCGAGGAGGGTACGTAGGCAGGGGACGCAGCCTTCGCTAGCTGCGTGGAACAGCGGAGTCCACTGATAAAGCTTGTCTTTCTGGTCGAGATCAGCACCGTGCTCCTTTAGCAGTAGTAGTAGGTCTGGCGATTGTGAGGCACGTGCAACCATATGCTGCGGGTAGAGACCCTCTGCATCCGGCAGCAACTGCGCATTTCGCTCAAGAAGCATCTTCGCGATAGGCAGAGAGCCGTGTTGGCAGGCGAGATTCAAAGGAATATGATCCGGACCCTTCAAAGGACGATTATCCATTCCGGTCAGAAGAGGCGACTCGGGCTCCGGGTCGACGCGGGCATTGCTAAGCAGAACCTGCTCGGCGCATTCCAGCTGGCCCTTTACAATGCTGTGGATTAGAGGGGTGAAGTTGTCATGGTCCATAATGTCGACGGTTTGCGGACCGGCTGCGAGAAGATGTCGCACCATATCCACGCGGCCGTGCATGCATGCGTAGTGGAGAGGGATTCGACCATAGACATCGGCGCGGGCGAAATCAACGCCTGCGCGGAGACCGGCGTGGAAGACAAATAATCGGCCCGAGATGGCGGCTTCGTGAAGGCAGTTTCGTTCGTTGATGTCGTCCTCGGCGTGTATGTCAACCAGTTGACTCTCCAGTAGCAGAGCGAGCACATCATCCGAGAACCCGTTGATGGCGGTCAGGAACGTACGGGTTGCGCGCTCACGGGCGTCCGGCAACTGCTGTAACCTGGCCAGCCATTCACGTAGGTTTTGCAGATTTCCAGCGGAGGCAGACTGCAAGACCTGGTTGTCCATTTCATCCTCTTCAGAGCCTAAGGGTGCGGTACGGTCCAATGGACGTGATGCGTCATATTGAATGTTCTCGCCCTCGGCCCAAGCCTCCAATTCCAGTCGCGCGGTAGTAGCTCTGTCAGCGAGGTCTCGAAGAACTTCCCGATTGAAGCATGGTTGCACTTCCACAGCCCGATGTAGATACAGCTCCTTCATACGAGACTTGGAGGTTTTGTCCCACTTCTTGAGGATTTTAGACATGGCCGTCTCGTTGATCTCAACGAACTGCTGCAGTTTATTCAGGTCGCCATCGAATTGCTGGAAGCCTTCAAACATAGCCGCGAAATTCGACGGAGCTTTAGAATTCGAGATCGCCCGGGATTGAGTGACCCGCTTCTTGTCGACCAACGTCCGTAGGCGCAGGGAAAACTAAAAGGGATCGGATGAGCCTCCAGAGGGGGGTGACTGTGCACTGGATATATAATAAATGGCCATACCTCTGATTCTTTCTGGAGGTAGAAAGTGTTGACCTTCTCAATCTCTCGTTCCTACATCATAGTAAGTACATACCATCCATACAGGAAAGTATCCCAAACCTACCAAACGGAAGAAGAAAACCTCCTTATTCGCGCGCAACGCGCCTTGGGGGTCGGCATTAGCTCTAGCAATCTCCTCGGCTGTTCTCTGTGCCGGGATAGTCGGGGTAGCACTGAGTTGCTTGATCAACTGTATAGGAATTAGTCCTGCTCAGATCCATATTCCCGCAAGCAGACAGGACGTTCAACCAACCTTCTTCAGCGCCTTGTAGTTAACAAAGCTGGCGGCATATTCAGGAAGATCTAGCTGCCTGCGCTGGATCTGCTTGCCGAACTTCCTATGCAATCAAGGCGTATCAGCAGTAGCTCGAGGAATGTTTCAACCGGCAACAGGAGCTGCCAGGCATACGTACATGTTGTGTGCACACTCTCGGAGAGAGCTTTAGCTCTCCCGAGCTCTGGAGACCGAGATCGCAACCGTAGCGCAAGCTCAGCGAAACGGAGCCGAGAGCTGTAAGAATCGGAGCTGGTTGACTATGCGAGGTAGAGTAGAATGCAAAGGAAAGGAAACAATTGGGATTGGGATTGGGGAAGGGAAAAAAAAGTAAGAGAGGGTGGGAGGACAAGGACACGAACCAAAGCTGGTTCGGCTTCGGAGGCAAGAGGGGCAGTTAATGGGTTATCACAGTGGGGAAGGAAATAATAGTGGGACAGGTAAGAGAGTGACACAAGTCGATAAAATGTGTGACGTTGCGTTGCGATGGGTTTTCGCCCATATATGATGAAGGAACTGGGATTAGATGCTAAGGATTGAGGGAGCGCAGAGGGTCTAAGGTAGAAGCGGTAATAGAGATAGAGGGCGATAGAGAGATAGCGGGGCAGACCGACGGACAAGTACAGGGCCCAGGGACGAGAACGTGTTAGGAGATTCTCTATAGTTCGAGTCTCGCGAGAGAAGGGAAAAGCTGCGAGGTGCAATTAAGCCGGGGAGTGGAGAGCTGTGTGAATCATCCAGCGCCAATCACCGCGAACAGCGGAGGCACGTTGTGAACCTACTGGTGACCACTGCAACGGAAGGGGACCGAGTACGTTTATTATATGCATAATTTTTAGTAATGACTACTCTAATTAGCCATAATTAGAGTCCATTTGACTCGGTCGGGCTGTTTAGGGTGTATTTAGTAAAAGTTAGCTGATTATTCGCTGTTCTTTTACGATTCTGCCGGCACTCTCCGAGTAACTATACCAGAACTCATGGTAAACCGTTCATTTCAGACAAGGGAACTGGGACTAAATCCAGGATACCCAAGGTATCATTGCAAATCTCGAGTATGTCCAGGTGCATGGAAAACTCCACACGCAGCAGGAAATGTACAAGATGCAGCTCCACAATAAAACAACAAATCAACACAGACATAAAACCGGGTGTTAACAGAAAACGAAAAAACAAGCTATGCAGCTGAGACCAGATGCGCGGGATATATCAAACAAATGACCAAACCAAATCAAAGCCCGACAGGCCGATTAAGGGGGACAGAAAGAGGGGAAAAGAAAATAAAAGTGTAGAGGGACAATAGTGACATGAAGTGAAGGTCCATCGCGCCGGGAATTGGAACATGAGAGACCCGATAAAACGAATGAAGTCGGCGGTGGGTGAGAGAGAAAGAGCGTGTGGTATTGTGCAAGGTTAAAAAAAAATCAAAAATCAAAACAAGCACACAAAAAATGGAATGCCAAATGGAATGCCGAGCTTTTTGGAGATCAAAGAGTATAGGAAATCCGAATCAGTCGACCCATCAGAAGTTCTGCGCGATACCGGCATTGCCCTGTCGTGGATAGACGCCCGGGTTTTCAATGCGGGTATTGCGGCGTGCTTGGACGTCACGGATCACAGGCTGGTAGTCGTCCCCGCCGTATGCCCCGTGCGTGTTGATGTCGCCGTAGTACGGGTTCTCACCGTAGTAGCCAGCTGAGGGGTGGACAGCGGACATGTGACTTTCTTCCGATGCGTCGGATCGGTTGGCTGCGGAGTACGCGGAAGATGCGTTGGAGGGGCCGCGGTGGATATCGCCATTATTCCGGTTGTTGGCAGCCACTGGGGCGGCGCCTAGCACACCGAGAGGTTCGACGATCTCTCCAGAGTCGGGCCGGGTTCCATCGGAATATTGCACAGTGCCATCGCTAGGTGTTGCGCCGTGGTGGTAGCCCGGGCTGCTGCCTTCCGACATGGCCAGGCCACCCATTCCACTGGAGAGGTTGGTGGACGCCTTGCGCCCGGCAGAAGTAGTTCCCCAGCCGCGGTAGCCGGAGGATTCGTTGTCCTTGGGCACCACCGTGCCTGCCATACCGGGAAGGGTTGGGTCGTTGTTCGGGTTGTTGGGGTTGAATCCGTACTCCTCTACTTCCTTGCGGCGCTCCTCCTCGGCCGCCTTGTTCGCCTTACGCTTACGCCAGAAGAAGAGTAGGGCCAGGATGATCAATGCCACCGAGACAACCGGGACCACGACTGCGACAGCGATTGTGCCGCTGGGAGAAAGACCACCGGAGCTAGCTGCTGCGGTGGAGGTAGAGAGCGCGGCCGAGTCGGTTGCGCTGGAAGAGGTGATAGACGTGGTATCGGCGGTGGGCGCTAATTGAGTGGACGTGATAATAACTACGGTAGTTCCCTGTGTGGATGAGAACGTTGTCGTCTCGGGAGCTATGGAGGTGGTCGGGGCGGTTGTGGTAGAAGAAGTGGAAGAAGTAGTCGAAGTGGACGAAGTAGTCACAGGCTGGGTGGTCGACGTGGTGGGATCCGGGGTCGACGTAGTGGTCGACGTGGTAGGCTCGGGAGTCGACGTAGTCGGCTCCGGCGTGGACGTGCTACTAGTCGTGCTCGTAGTACTGCTCGTAGTACTAGTGGTGGGTTCAGTCGAAGTGGTGGGAGCAGCCGTGGACGAAGTTGTCGTTTCGACAGCCGAAGTCGTCGGATCGGCTGAAGAGGTCGTGGGTTGAGCGGCAGATGTCTCACTGGTTGTCTCAGCAGCCGCCGAAGTCTGTACAGCGGTGTCCGCGGCGGTAGAACCGATGGCTGTAGCGACAGCGGCAGCGCCCTTGGATACTGAAGTCGCCATCTCAATAGCAATACTGGTCAATGATAATCAACGGTGAGATTGAGTTGGCGGTGGTAAAGATCGAAGCGATCCTGAGCCGGGAGACCGTTCGGCGAGTTTTGAGAGATTGTGGACACTTCCGGGTGCGGAAAGAATTTCGGACTGAATGTGACTGAGGGATCACGAATTGAATCCGAGTTAATAGACTGGTTTAATGAGAGACTGCGATTTGAACGCGTAAGGAGAGACTTGAGGCTATGGTCGGAGTCTTCAGGGGAAAACCGACGATATCTCACGAACGGACGGGAATAGAAAAAAAAGAAGAGAAAGGAAAATGAAGATGAAGGATGGAAAAGAGAGAAGAACGAATACTCACAGTCTCTCGAGGCCGAATCTAGCAGCCATGGGAGGAGAAAAGTGGTGTGGGAGAGTGAGATTGAAGTGGGAAGTGGAGATTTGTTAGATTTCTTACGATTGCGGCGTATCCGCATTCCTAGTTGTATTAATAGATACTTGTGCTCTGCTGAATCGAAGTAGAAACAGCATGATCGTTAAATCTGGTTATGCTACAGTCGAGTTGCAGTTACATCCCAAACACGATGCTGTTTCTGGCAATCCCTTGATGCGGCCATGTGAGCCCCTGACCATATGGAGTCTCTGGTGCTATAGAATAATCCTCCGTGGTACTGTGTGTACTCTGTGAGACTCTATTATACCTCTAACACCTTTCATGCCTCTAATATTCACAACAGAAATCCCAGAATAATACCTATTTGCCAATATTTACTACCAGCCGTGGACGTATTGATTCTTCGGTACCGAAACCTCCAACCGAGATGAGCGTACCCGTGGGTATAAGCCCTGAAGCAAGGACCGAATCCCAAGGTTATGGGGACGGAAGAATCTTCCACTGAGGGCGTGTGTGGTATGTTGTATAAAAGAGTCATGATGCACAATGTACTCAGTTGCCACTGACTCTGATTATCTCCACTTCTTCAACGGTGTTGAACAATACTATACTGACATGTAACTATATTGTACACATCTTCTGTCTACTAGGACGAGAAGGGAAAAAGAAAAAAGACGATCGGCGTGGATAATCTTGTTTTCTGTGGCTAGCCCGTTAAATACGATTCTATTAGGCCCCGTAAATAAAATGCTGTGATCTCTCCCATCTAGCCCCTGACTTGGTGGATTAGCGCTCGGCCCGATTTCTGCCAACTCGCGCGACTTCCCGTTGTACGTAGTCGGACGCATAATTGTGGACACAGTGCCCTCGGACGAATCGAAGCGGATTCGTATGTTGTATGTTATACTCCAGATCTGAGCACATTAATGTTCTAGAACTATACACATATATACACCCCAGACCGAAGAAAGAAATTTCAAATTGATCAGAATCCAACCATCGTCTATTTACGCCATTGATAGTAGATGTCCAGACAAAAAAAGGAGAATGGAGTAATGAATATAAAAAGGGGCGCTCCATCACCCCCCCAAAAGCTCAAGCACCGGGGGACCCAGATGAACAAAAAAAAATCAAATCAAATCATCACGTGCTCTTATACCAAGACAACAAAGTCATCACAGTGGAAAGCGGTACCGCCGCTTCCTTATGCGTTGTTCATGTCCCACTTCGGACGCAGACTGGCCATCATGTCATCCTTGGTGCCGACGGCTTCCGCAGGCAGACGACTGACACGGTACGTGCCCGCGCGGATATTTTGCTGGAGGGTAGCAGAGACTGCAGACCGAGCACTGCGGATACTACCGGCATCGCTGCCGGTACCACTCTCGTTCTTGAAGCGAGGCGGGGGCACAAAGTCCAGATTGGTGAACGTACCGGACTTGCGCAGGGCGTGCGGGCTGGGCATCACGATGAGCTCGTCGAACGCAGAGGCCAGTGGGGTGTGCGCACGCGGGCCGGGCTGGTACGGGCGTAAGCCACCGCTGGGGGTCTCAGGGCGACCCGCGCGGCGTTCTTTGATTCCATTGGCCGGCGCGAATTCCATGGCAGTCAAGAGGGAGTCGTCCGTCAACATGTGAGGAGTAGGAAGGATGTGTAGCGGTGAGGGAGGGGGAATTGCTTTCTTGGGACCGCGTGGGGGCATACGGCCAGAGGCAGACGAGAAGGCGCGTGGGCTGGGCATGCCATTTTGGCCCGCAGAGTTGGTGGCCTGGTGCCGAGCGGCGGCTCCTTGGAAGCGGGGAGGTGCTCGAGGCGGTGGTGTCATCGCGCGACGGGTGATCGGCTCAGCGAATGGAGCGGCATGAGCGGCATCGTAGTAGTCGCCAGTGGTTGGGTCGTATATGAAGCCAGCCCCATGATTACCATCCTCGTAGAACTCCGGCCCGAAGTCCTCAGAGTATGTGGCCTCCGGACCCTTGCTCTCATCGAAGTACTCCTTGTAGAACGAACGAATCCGATTGGCACGCTGTTCTGGGTTGTCGGAGGGGTCCTCTGGGGGCAACGGGCGCAAACCGAGAGTCATCCGGCGGGTATCGCGGTGTCTATCATATGGCGTATCCAGATTAGGAGGGTCCTCTGGAAGTTCTGGATGTTGGTTATCGTGGCTTGGGGCACTATGCGTGACATCTTCTGCGCCATGAATGTTGACCGAAGGAACATTGTATTGCGACTTGTCATCACCATAGTCACTAACATCACTGGCCGGCAGGGAAATACGAGGAAGCTGTGGTGCAAGACCCTGATCATGGGTCAATGCTCGTGGTTGCGAAGAATCGGGCAGCGGGAAGTTCGGGCGATCTTCATGCGGAGCGCTATAGGAATTGCCGTATGTATCGCCCAGTCCAAAGTCTAGACCCGAGGAGGCATCCAGATGGGGCAGGGGATCTGGCGTGGGAATCCGGCTGGCATTGGGACTTCCCTTGGCCATGCCGGGTTGCTGTGCAGCAGGCGGACGTGTCACTCCGGGGACTTGCCCCAGGCGGTCATTGCGCGGGTTCGGGGAACTGGGGGGATACAGCGGCGGGGATGAACGAGACATCCTCTGTGCATTTTGGAGAAGACCTGAATTGCCGTCATCAGAACCCTCGAATCGGGAGTTTCTGGGGTACGACCGAATAGAAGCAGTAGCCGGACGGTACTTGTCATCGTCTATTGACAAGGAGCGTAGCGAATCCGGGGAACCTTCCAGGCCCGGAGGCAACAGATATGGACCGACATCAAGAGACAATCCTTTGGTATGAGTGGGTTCTGACATCTGGGGCATTCCTTTCCTGCTGGTGGCAGGCCCCACTGTATCCATTCCAAAATCGAGAGATTTATGTTTATCCATTGCATCTTCCCGCATAAGTTTCTTGACATGTCTCCGGTGCAGCACAATGAGGATAATAATAGCGCACAAAATAGGGATACCAGCACCGAGCACAACCGGCAAGACCGTCGTGGTCAGGTCGCTGGTAGGCTTTACTCCTGAAGTCGGCTCAGCTGATTCGGATCTAGCCACGATGGATGAAAGCTTGGTAGGTATCGAGGAGGTAGTGGGGACCAGGAATGGCAATCGATGTGAAGGGATGACATCCCGACGAACGTGATTCCGCATCGCCAGGCGGGCGTGGCCGGCATGAGACATGGTTGGTGTAGTCTGGTCTATAGGAATAGACCCGACTTGGGAACGTGAAGACCGGTCAACACGTTTAAAAAGGCGATAGCCGGTCGAGATTAATGCTCGTCATTTAAAATGGGGGCCACACAATTGCAAAATCACGGAATAGCTGGTAAAAAAGAGTGTCACAAGCAATATAAAGTCAATGTAAAAAAAGAGTGTGTAGGACGGGGGGTCCTCGAAAAGAGCGGCGGCCAGCAGCCAAAAGGGAATGAATGTCGGATAAAGAGAGAAAGAGAAGAGGAGAAGGAGAGAAGAGTTGAGTTCTAGAATAGCGGACTAGCGGCCAATATTATACAGGAGACTTGTTGTATTGTACAGGTACTTCATCTCCGCATCTCGCCCCTGAGTCTTAATTTAGAACACCCTGTTTTTTGGCCATTGTTTTTGTCTCGGTTTGGATCTGTGTTTATTCTGCTCTGTTCATCATTCGCCTTTTTCATCTATTTGTTGATACTCCCCCATGCGAGGCCGACTGCACCAAGCAAGGTGAGGGTAAGACACGCCTTGGGGGGACCAGGCGAGTAGCGCAGCTCAAGATAGAGGAACCCGCTATCTCGTCAGCCAATCAGCGACGGGCTGCCCCTGAACCGGAAAGTGGCCTGGTGGGTAACGTACGAGTGGCTGTATTTGGGTTTTATTACCGCCGTCCAGGCGTATTGATGTGTATCGCTCATGTAAGGCAGGGGTTTTCTCTTTTCCGTTTTTTCTTTTTCTTCTTTTCTTTCTATACTCCATATGTTCCTATGAGGCTATGCCAAGGACATCGACATTGGCTAATGCTTAATGTGTATATACTCCATACATCCAAGACCTCAATTGATCACCAATAGATCAATACAAGCCGAATCTGATCTCCTCAACATGGAACACCGGTGTGGCCCCTTCATTTCCTAGTGCCCCGGATAATACTCGGATTAACTATACTACGTCTTACTCTAATGGTGTTTATCTTGTCCGCCCAGGTGATGCGCAGGGCTTGTACAGCCACAAAACGCCTCTATTGAACTCATCAGATAGAGCTAAATAACTTCGGAGCTAGTCGGATACTTAATTTATATACTGTAGAGAAATGATAGCCGCTGCGTTCTAGACTGAAATCTTATCATAATCTTATACTTGTATCTATATATCAGCTCCAACTATTGAGCAGAGCAAGGATTCTTCTGTTTTTGTACATCAATCTCTGGCTTCGGACCTTATTGATAAGTGACTGGAAGATATACCTGTTCCTTATTTATTCAAAGTTCAATATATACTGTAGAAATTGAAGATGACTCGTGGAGAGTTCAATTGTCTAAGGAAGCAACCCTCGACTTATCTGGACATCAGTATATATTTCCCAAACACATTTCAAAGCGACTGGCACCGAATATCAATAGCTGCTTGAAAGCTTCTTGGGGTTAGACACCACTCCTCTATACTGTCCAGGATGATGGTCTCTTGTAGATTTACTTCAAGATTGCTTAATCCGGACCATGAGATTAGAAGGTTTGTTTCATTTCTGTATTAGGCTTAGGCACAGGATTGAAAGTTCATAGATTTGTCCTCCGGGCTCGTCCCCGGGTTAATCATCGCGTCTGAAGTTCATCGCTTTTCATCTTGCCTGATATGGGGATCTTCGTTCGAAAACACCAGGATCATCCCGTAAAAGGGATCCTCCGTGAGTGATACAGCGCAATTAGGAAATATGAGCTGCGCAAATATGGAACATGGACGAAAGGAAGGGGAAGATGACGCAAGAGAGAATGGTCATGGGCCCAATGGGCACTCGTATGTGGCATGCACACATGAAAGGGTGGGAAAGGGAAAACCGGATTCTTGGCAATGTACATTGGGGAAGAGTTGTACACGAGAATGGAAAAAGGGTAACGGCGTTTTGAGTCAGATCGCACTGTGAAAGAAATGGACGGAATTCTCCGAGATCATGCAGGTGTAAACATTAGGTAGGGATGGAGAAGATGGTCATCCAAATGATCTTGAGGTGTTTTTCGGTTCGTCTCATGGTTGTGGTTGGCGGATAGAAGATGATGAGAGGGAGTGAGTATTGAGATGTGGTGGGGGAAAGATAAAAAAAGTTGATTAGGACATGTCAGCCAGCGCTGCCTCAAAGCTGGCAATATCATCGTGGGATGGTTTGTCGAAAATGCGTCGGAATGGCGGGTCTTGGAAGTCCTGAGGGCTGTCTGCCACCCCGTCGGCTTTGCGAATAACTTCCTTCAACGCCCGCGTCACCACACCCGCACGAACCACCAAATTCTTCAACGAGGAAGTATCAAACGGAAGTTTCTTTCCGCGTGATGCCAATTCTGACCCGTCAAGACCTAAAGCGGGCTCCTGACCACGAGGCTGGAGGATATCAAGAACAGATTTGGACTTTTGGGAGTCCTTTACGAGCTGAGCGAGGGGCAAGATGGCTTTGTTTTCACCACTGGGCACGTCCCAGGAGACTTCGCTGTTCCGCTTGGACGACCCATTAAGGCCATCATCGTCAGATTCATCAAAACTGAAAGTAAGGGATTGAGGAGACCCTGGTGGCGAGCGACGAGCTTCATCATCATCAATGGTAGCAAGGTTCACGATCTGCTCTGCTTCTGCCCACAATTCACTGGCAGGTCCGTTGACAATTCGGAGGACATTTGCCTGATGCCGAAGACGTTTCAATTCCTCCACCAGCATGGTTAATTCCTGAACCTGCCCAAATTGACCACGAAGACTTGCTTGACGCTCCAGAATGGCCTTGGGAACAGTCATGCTCTGGCGATTGATATCGGGCTCAACAAGTGGTTTGTCTTCGGCGACTGGTGTGTCCTCCGCCTCGTCGAAATCAAAATCGCTGTCCCAATCTTCACTCACACCTTTAGTTCCCAATCCCCAAGTACCAAACTTGCCAGAAGTTTGACGTGATTCGTTGATGGGAAGTTCACTGGCGACAGGGACACTCTGGCTCCTAAGGTGGACAGTGGATGGTGCTTTCCGGCAAACAGCCCGGCTCCTATCAACAACCCCCTCTTGTTTTCCCTGCATAGTCTTAGGACGCGCCTCAGAGTCTGAAGTTTCGCGGGTATGGTGCGCGTGTTCCGACCAGTCAAAGATGTTTGTTTTCTTGTTGACATCCGACTCCAAGTCACCCACCGATTCAGACATATCCTTAGCTGCACCAGTGCCCGAGTCGGGCTGCTCTGCTAATTTCGCCAATGAATAGGTCAGAGAAGATGAAAAACAATCACGATCATTGCTCGGAAGCGCTCCAATCATGCTGAAAGCATCATCGTCAGCCACGAACGGAGTTTCAACCATGGATGTTTGAACCAAAGGAGGGGACGACAGAAGCGGATCAGTGAATAATTGGGGATCCTTGTCCGAAGACCGAGCGGCGAAGGAGCCCCGCGGGAGGAGAGACTCCAAGGTCGTGGCTTCTTCATTCACCAAGCTTGTACCTGCCTTGTCAAACATCGTCTCAATCCGCAGTCCCTTCAGTCCACTGCGATTGGTTTCACGTGTGCGGACAGAGTCCCAATAGTCTGAAATAAAGTCCGTCTCATATCCATCGCACGATGTAAACACCTGAGTGTCATCGGAGCCAATGACGGTGGAAGCCGGATCGGAACATGAAATCGAAAATCCCTTCGGACGGCGACGAAGGGAACCATGAGGTCGACCACCAGGACGAGATGCCTGCTGCCAGGCCGACAGGGCGACCGCATCCGAGGTCATTTGACGTGCACCGGCCCGAGGTCCCAAGCCAACGCTGTAGTCCTGCGACACCGATCGGGGACCAACCTGAGACCGTCTTTCCAAAGCCGAGTCAGCCCAACCAGATTGCGAAGTGGGATAGGGGGCACGAAACACGCTTGGATCAGTGATGTTGCGCCGCGGCTCCGGCTCCGAGGAGTTCGGAATAGGGACATTCTGCTCTTCCATTGAGAGCTCGGAGGCAGGGATCGAAAAGGTCCTTCCCTTCACTCGCTTCAGAGAGCCGCCGCGAACGGGTCCCATAATCGGTGTCCCGTGGGCAGTGACTGTGTTTGCCATGATGATTTTCGGCTCAATATCGTTAACCGAGTATGACTGTTTATGGCCGGATTTCGCTGTTTGCTGTTCCGGGGCGACCGACTCCTTGGGAGTTGGCTCGGAGATAGGCATTTGGAACGGATTGCGGAATTCGATTGGGGTATTAGGTACTGATATGTCTTCTGGCGCAGCAGCCGTGGGGGAGATCATATTAGCCGCAACCAACACAGGAAGAGCGCCATTGTCAGACGCAATTTGGCGTACACTCTGAACCTTTGGGGCAGTGGAGGTCGAGAACCTGCGCGAAAGCCTCTCTGCTAATTTCCCAGCTTTGGGAACGAAGAATGGCATCCAGTGCTTCTTCTTTTCGAGCTCGAATTCTTCGATTGCTGGACCTTCGACAGGCGTCTTCGGAAAGTATGCATTGAAGTCCGTTGTAGAGGAAGTCCGGAGGAACATCGACTCCGACCTCTGGTGACTAGTGGCGGGCCTGCGCAGCGCAGCCGGCGACGGTTCAGAGATGGGGTTCATGCAGAGAGCATGCGTATTTGTATGTTGCGAAGCCGGTCGCTTCACCAATTTGTTTGGGGTTCTTCGCAGATAGGGCGAGCGAGGAACGAGTGGGCTTTCTGACCCATTGAACGAGGGCGTTGTTGGACTACCTGCAGTCGGGGTTTCAGCTTGGAACGAGGCCATCGACAGCCGCCGCAGCCAACCAGAGGATGGCCGCTGAGTTTGTATTTCGACCGGCGAGTCAGTCGACTCATTTTCCGGAATCCGCAGGGGTGGGTTTGTGAGAGTTTGACCCCGACGGCGGCGTCTTGCACCGCTGAACGACAAGGGCGCTTTTCGCAGATTGGATTCTTGGTTTCCCTGCAAGCTTTCCTGTTCCTTTGCGGCAAGCCACTCGGCGGCCGGACTGCGGGATGAGAGAGCGGTTTTGGGCCGGGCGACTGCTGTCTGTTCACTGTTATTAGGGAGCGGCTCGAGGATATCCTGAAAGAGAGTCTTTCGCCGAAAGAGCCCAGGCCTCTGAGTCCGTTCGGCGCGACCGAGCGCAAGACCGGTGGGAGCTATTCCAACTGTGCTCAATGCACAGAGCTAAAAATGCTAGTTAGTGAAGGTTCCGAAGCGACCAGGCCGCCGTCCTGCAAAGTGATATCAACTCGGGGACTTACAGTTGAGATGTGATCCATCCTCAGAGGACGCCGCTAAGGATGTCAAACACCCCGACGATCAGCTCCAGGTTGATAAGCTCCGTGAATGACATTCCAGATGGATGCACAATACAAAAGAGTATGGAGGCAAACGATGAAGAGGTAGATGAAAGGTCGAATGGCGAATTGCGAGTTGCGCAAGCCGGGTGGTGATGAAGAAGTGCTGCGCTGCCTCACCCAGGCCGCGATTGACGTTCCAGACAAAGCAAAGGAAAAAGAATTAAAAAATAAAGAGTGAATGGCCAACGCCGAGCAAAGCCTCCAAGAAAAATAATATGCCTCTACCCCCTGGGAGGCCGAGTAAAGAAGGAGAACACCAGACGAAGTGGATGTGACCCGGGGAAATCAACAACAACACACGGGGATTATCAACTCCCGCCCTGCGCACGCTAGGAGCAACTTTCAATAACTCCCCCTCCTTGGGTCCTTTTGTGATTTATTTGATCTTAGATCAATTATGAAGTAGGTCGCTGTCTTTGGATGGCATTCATTTAAAGATTTCACCGGGGATCGAAGATCTAGGGAAGATTCTGCTATCAAAACAAACCAGACATTCTACAGACAGGAGAGGAATACCCCGATTTGCACAGCACTTCAGGGCAGCACGAAACGGTACTAGCTCTGGTGCACGATCCTGCAGGTGTTGCAAATGCAGAATGCAGGCCAGAGGAGGATGCGCCAATTTGGCAGACGTCCCTTGCGGCTCACATTTGTATTGGCGTCATAGTCCAGACATTTCAAGCAACCGGAGAAGTCCGCTTCGACTGGCCGAGCACCCTAAAGAGCAGGGAAATGGAGAAGCCACTAGGCCCCAAAAAAAGCCATGCGATCCAGAATTCCCCACACATCTGGTGTTGGCTGGCTGAGATTGCGTTCTCGGCCCCCTAGCCTAGGATCGTTAGTCGCATCGTGAAGGGGCCCTCAAGCCGATCGGTGTCCACTGGCTATGAACCGCCCGCAGGTGTTCCGTTCTCTAATACTGAACCATGGTCCATTGAGATTAACAATGGATCAAAGGATGATCGGTTAGGCTTTGTTCAGGAATCTATCCACTATCAACTCGGTTAAGCTGTCATCCTATACTTTGTGCCGAGTGAAAAGCTGGTTTGTCACCATCCAGATCCACTTCCAACCAACTTTACTAACTTTGCTGACTTTGCTGACTTTGCTTCTGGAATTAAATATCCGACAAAGAATGGACTGAAAGCGTTGCGAGGAGGTTCAATAATGCAAGGGCTCCAGCAGGTACCCCGTACCTTTAAATGCTATATTGAAGAGCGTGATCCTGGAATTCCGAATTTGGTCCGAAGATTAGAGTACGATCTTAGGTTCAAGAGTTGACCTGTTCGATTTTATAAATTAACCCGATATAGTACCCGGTGCTATTGTTTTTGGGGACATTACTATATATAAAAGTCCCCTTTTCTCTCTTTTCCCCTTTGCAGATCAAAGGAACCTGATGAAGCACAATTCCTCATTCCAAACTCATACTTCTAGCTCTGGCAGTTAACCGTCAATAGTGTCTCAAATAGCGGGGGAAGAAGTACCTCGTGTTCAAGCTCTTTAACTCTCTTTTTTTTTCACCTGAAAGGCGGTTCAGGCCGATCCCTACATAATACCTGAACTTCTAGCGATCGGCAGATCCAATCATTCACTTAGGAAGGTCGATATATGGAGCGTCCATCCGGACAGTTCCTTGATTTACGTTTACATATCCCGTGTCAACTGTTCATAAGTAACTATGACCCAATACTTTAATTTGTTTTTCTCACCTGTCGTCACCCGTTATATCAGTGTTGGCTGCAGCGACCTGCAGACCGGAACAAGATATTCCCTGCACTGTTGGTGATCTTGAAATATCCAGGTCGAATGGCCATTTCTGACCATTGTTGGAAAAGAATCACATAATAAACAAAGATGCCATTCACCTCTAGCCCTGGTGACATCAATTCTCGGCCTTCCGACCCTCGGCCGATTTTGCACGCCCGTGCTTTGCAATTTCCGACCTTGGTGAAGGGTGGAAATTGCGTTTTGAACAGCTTCCAGATTCTAAGCTTGTATAGGTTCATTGGGCAGTTGATTGTTAATCAAATAACCGATACCTCTGCGTTGTTCATAATTCACCTACTGCTCATTGGTCCAATGCAGTTTCTCCGAACGTGAAACTGCTTATGAAACACCTACAACCTGCCTGCAAGAGCCATCTAATTTAAGTAATTTCATCAGAGTCCAGTCATTGATGCAGAGTAATCTAGTCAGGCCATATCTTCCACTTCACCGTCTATGTCTATCGCTCTTAGCTGCACAGAGTAGCCGAAACATCTTTGGGCAACAGGGTCAGATCTGAACCTTACTTATGTCCATCATCGCAAAACCTCGTATTGCTCATAACGTGACCGGAGAGGCCGCAGGAGCTAAGCTGATCATTATGCTACTCGCCCGTATGCTACGTCTACTCTGTACCTTGTCTATCGCTTAAGGACTTCAAATATTGGGGCTGTGTGACATTCGGGTGATCTGATGCTTGTTTCCCGTATGCAAGTATATCACAAATGCCAAGAGGTCATTCTGAACTTGGCTACAGTATCTGTGCTCAATCAACTAATTGGCTGGGAATCTGATGCTAATAATATAGATGGATCCTCGTATTCAACAGCTTCATGCGAAGATTGGCGATATACAGCCAGCAAACTACTTTCAATCTCATTTTTGTCTAGATTGAGTTTTCGACAGCTTGCTTCGAATATCAAGTATTTTAAAACAAAGCTATGGTCATAAAGTTCTTTGTTGAGGTTATGGAAATCGCTTATATTTCGGTAGTTATGGAGTGTAGTAGTCGCAAATATATGAGAAATCACTACCTAGCTGCCTCTCATTTGTTTTGGTGTTTCTCAAAGCTAGGAATATGATTTACACTACTTAGCATTCAATATCTGTCACATTATCTCAAGAGACAATTAACATAGAAGCTTTCCGAGGATATTATGAACGATAAACACTCATATCATGTGATCTTATCGATAACACATACAAAAATCCGCCACTATTCACGGTGGGGACATCAATTGTAGAACTCCACAAAACCTTGACCTCGAAGCTCCCCGAATCCCGGCGTGGAATACGTCCTTTCGAGCCTGGCAATATGGAGTCCGAACTCCAATCCCAGATCCCTGGCATCGACAACATCATCACCGAATACTCAGTGGTACGTCTCTCCGCACATATGCGCGGTGAAGGATTGTGAGTTGAAGCTGACTATTTGACAGGGCTACCTGACTCATGCCGCAAACCTCTACGTCGACGATGCCAGTGCCGAGTCGCCCTTGGCAGAGGCCGCCGAATCCGTGACCAACCTCCTAGTCTCCGCTTCGGGAGATTTCTCCCCGCAAAACTACGAAGCGATCGGCAACTTAGTTGCAAAGTTCATTACGACGCTGAGCTCTTCCGATGGAGATCCGGAGCGGAGGCAAATGCCCTTCAAGGCTAAAAAGCTTGATCAGACTATCAGTGTCGGTGCGCAGCGGAACATGTCTTCTACACTGGGTCTGACTGGAAACACTGTCGACTTGGAATCTGCCAATGCTCGAAAGATGGAGTCCAAGGTGGACAAGAAGAAGCTCGAGAAGGCCGAGCGCAAGATTCGCGCCAAGCAGGACAAGAAGTCCATGAAGAACGTTACCTACGAGGCGTCCCGTCTGCTCAACCAGCCAGACGAGGCTATGTCCTACGAGGAGTTCTTCATGGCTGTCAACCCTCTTCAATTGGGCTCGGACTCCCAGGCCAAGAGCAAGGATATCAAGTTGGATAACATCGATATCTCGATTAGTGGCCTGCGCATTTTGACAGACGCTGCCTTCACACTCGCTTATGGTCGTCGTTACGGTCTTGTTGGTCAGAACGGTATCGGTAAATCTACACTTTTACGTGCTTTGAGTCGCAGAGAAATCCCGATTCCGACTCACGTTTCTATTCTTCACGTTGAGCAAGAGGTATGTTCAAATCCAGCTCGGTTGCCTTTTCTCTTACTGACTTTCTATCGTAGATTACTGGTGATGATACACCAGCTTTGCAAGCAGTGTTGGATGCTGATGTGTGGCGGAAACATCTCCTATCCGAGCAAGCGGTTAGTCAAGTCCCAAGATGTCACAGCGGCATATTGCTAACGACTACAGAAAATCTCAAAACAACTTGCAGCCATCGAAGAAGAAAGGTCTTCATTGGCGGATACTTCAAAGGATGCTGCTAGACTTGACGAGGAGCGCGAGGGCCTGGATATCACCTTGAGCGATATTTATGGAAAGCTCTCAGAAATGGAGTCTGATAAGGCTGAATCTCGTGCGGCTAGTATCTTGGCTGGTCTTGGTTTCTCCCAAGAGCGCCAGCAGTACGCCACCAAGACCTTCTCCGGAGGTTGGAGAATGCGTTTGTCTCTTGCACGAGCTCTATTCTGCGAGCCCGATTTGCTTTTGCTTGACGGTATTTACCACTGCTCTCTATTCTACAAGCGGCCTACTGACATTTCACAGAACCGTCTAACATGTTGGACGTTCCGTCAATTACTTTCCTTTCCAATTACCTTCAGGGATACCCTAGCACAGTCCTTGTGGTTTCTCACGATCGTGCATTCTTGAACGAAGTCGCCACGGATATTATCCACCAGCACTCTGAGAGGTTGGACTACTACAGAGGTGCTAACTTCGGTAAGTTACATCAGATCTCAAGACTATGAATTGTTCTAACAATCTGCAGAATCCTTCTACGCTACCAAGGAGGAGCGCCGGAAGACTGCTAAGCGTGAATACGAGAAGCAGTTGGGCGAAAGAGCTCACTTGCAAGGTTCGTTACCCCCTCCATCTTGTCGTAGCTGTGTTAACGATCGTCATCAGCATTCATTGATAAGTTCCGATACAACGCCGCGAAGTCCTCCGAGGCACAGTCGAGAATTAAGAAACTTGAGCGCATGCCAGTTCTCGAAGCCCCAGAGGCCGAGTACACCGTTCACTTTGCCTTCCCTGGAGTCGAGAAGCTTTCACCACCCATTGTCCAGATGTCTGATGTTTGCTTCGGCTACACCAAGGACAAACCTCTTCTCAGGGATGTCGATCTGGATGTTCAACTTGATTCGCGTATTGGAATTGTCGGACCTAACGGTGCTGGTAAGACCACAGTCCTGAAACTACTCACCAACCAGCTTGAGCCAACAAGCGGTATCATCTCCACAAACTCGAGACTGCGCATCGGATTCTTCGCCCAACATCACGTCGATGCTTTGGACATGAATGCCAGTGCAGTCGGCTTCATGACCAAGACATATCCCGGTAAAACCGACGAGGAGTACCGACGACACCTGGGAGCGTAAGTTTATCCTGACCACTCGCATGTACTGCATTGACTAATTTCATATTATAGATTTGGTATCACTGGTACAACTGGTCTCCAACGTATGGAATTACTGTCCGGAGGTCAGAAATCTCGTGTCGCATTTGCTTGCTTGTCCTTGACCAATCCCCATATCCTTGTTCTTGACGAGCCTTCCAATCACTTGGATATCGAGGGTATGGATGCTCTGTCGGATGCACTCCGGGCGTTCGAGGGAGGTGTGGTGATGGTTTCCCACGATGTCACCATGTTGCAGAATGTCTGCACTAGTCTCTGGGTTTGCGACGGCGGTACTGTTCACAAGTTTGACGGCACCGTGAGTGCATACAAGAAGAAGATCAGCGCACAGGCTGATTCTGCCGGTGTTGTGGCTAAACACTAGGCTAGGAGGGCTATATATGTATACATTAATGCCGTAAAAACAATGAATCTTGCATGAATCTAAATTACACACTTTTAGTATTCTGCAGCCCAATATTCATATATTAGGCCTTCATTCCATCCTAGTGCATATGTATGGAAATAGATCTCTAGTTGTTCCTGAACTATATCGACGTGCGGAATCCGAGTTCCGCTTCGGGCTTTGAGCGTCTCCTTATCGGCTTATCGCGATTAGCCCCGGACGTCACTTTACCATCTCAGATGCCTCGGGGGATCAGGGGCATAACATTGAAAATTCGGATGATACCTCAGGATCAAGTTGGAAGAGCTCGAAGATATGACAGGCGCAGATGAGCAAGACCAATCGGGCCCCCACGCCCCTTTGCTCGCCTCATCCCACGCCTATTCCGACCATGATGGCAATGACCACGATGAGAGCCTGGCCTCTGAGCTGGAATACTCAGGAGGCTGGTTCATATGGATGTTGACTTTTTCCGCTGGGATAAGCGGCCTACTATTTGGATATGAGTATGCTAGCTACTACCAAACACGCCATGTTCCGGCTTCATTGCTTCCCGTTCACTAACAATCGTTGAAACTTCCAGTACAGGTGTTATCTCGTCTACTTTGGTGACCATCGGGTCAGACCTTTCCGGCCGAACATTGACAACACTCGATAAAAGCCTCATTACATCATGCACTAGCTTATTTGCGTTGATTGCGAGCCCGTTCACCGGAGTGCTGGCGGACAAGTTTGGTCGTCGGAAAGTCATACTTGGGGCGGATCTGTTGTTTGCACTTGGAGCATTGGTACAGGCCTTTACAAGCCAGGTTTGGGGGATGATCCTTGGACGCAGCATTGTTGGTCTTGCTGTTGGTAGCGCGAGTGCGGTGACTCCATTGTAGGTTGGCCTTGTCGTCAGGCGGGGACTGAGAACCTGTGCCATGGCATCAATTTGATTACAAGAGAGATGGTAATTGCTAACATGCTAGGTAATCAGGTATATATCCGAGTTAGCTCCTTCACACGCAAGAGGAAGACTTGTGACGATCCTCAGTCTGTTCATCACCGGTGGCCAGGTGGTGGCATACATAGTCGGTTGGCTGTTTTCTAGTACAACTGGAGGTTGGCGGTGGATTGTGGGAATTGGTGCATTGCCGGCCTTTTTCCAACTCGCCATCCTCGCTCTGCTACCCGAGACGCCTCGATGGCTGCTCCAGGCTGGATTTGATGCCCGAGCGAAGACAGTCCTGTCCAAGATCTATCAGGATTGCCCTGGATGTGACCGGGTGGTGGATCATGTCTTGCGCAATATCAACGCGGAAATTGTCCAAGAGGCGTCGGAGATGGGACCAGTTAAGTCTCGTGGCACAAAGCCCCAGTGGTTGCATGATACCATCCAACGGGGTCAGCAGTTGTTGCATGGTGGAAATAGAAGAGCATTGATCATAGCAATGATGCTCCAGGCAGTCCAACAGCTCTGCGGATTCAACAGCTTGATGTATTTTTCGGCAACCATCTTCTCCTCTCTTTCGTTCTCGTCGCCGACACTGACATCACTCTCGGTGGCTATGACGAACTTTATCTTCACGCTGCTTGCATTCGTGCTGATTGACAGAATCGGTCGCCGGCGCATTCTCCTGTATTCAATACCTGTCATGGTCGTTGCTCTGGTCGTCTGTGCTTTCTCGTTCTCGTCAATGGATGGCAAATGGAATCCACAACCTCCAACTGATCACCAAGAAAACCATGATAGCACTAATTCCCTTGTGCCCCTTGCAATTCTGCTTTGCCTTACTGTCTATACGGCGGCATATGCCCTTGGGCTCGGCAACGTCCCTTGGCAGCAGTCTGAGCTCTTCCCTCTGAATGTACGTTCCCTAGGGTCAGCACTGGCCACTGCAACCAACTGGGGATCCAACTTTATCATCGGTCTTACTTTCTTGCCTATGATGGAATTGATCTCTCCCTCATGGACGTTTGCTCTCTATGCACTCGTCTGTGTGGGTGGATGGGTTGCTGTATGGGCAATCTACCCCGAGATGAGTGGACTTAGCCTAGAGGAAGTCAAGGGCCTGTTAGCAGATGGCTGGGGCGTGAAAGAAAGCTTACAGCGACATAGCCTCTCACGGCATATATAGCGTGTGAAGAAAATCTATCAATCTCTGGAACGTGAAGAGGTAAATTCGAACCGCGGGCCTCTTTGTCGCTCTTTATCGTTTATTGTTGCGCTGTCACTTGTGAGGCGAATCTCGTCACGCAAATATAAGTAGCTTCACCCGATTTAGTTGCGGACCCATATTGTCCCGATGTTCGAACTGAAATCAAAAATGATATCGCATATTCGAAATGAATCACTCTAAGGACAAGACAACGCGCGGTCCGAATATATATTACCTCTTATTCCCAGATTCGCTCTTCGTCCTTTACCTCTTCTTTCTTACGTCTTCCGCCTCGTATCGAACTGCATAGGTATACATACCGAATGCTATGTCATAAGGATAAGTGAACGTGTGCGCTGACTATCCGTAGCCTCTTATTCCTAGGTCGCTCTTTGCACTTTACATCTTCTGTTCACATCTTCGCCTCACGTCATATAGGTATACATACCAAATGCTACACCACATGGGCAAGTGAAGGCGCACGCCGAATACCTCTCGCCTTTTATTCGAAATTCGCTCTTTGCACTTACATCCTCCCTTCATACATCTTCTACCTTACATCAAAGTACATAGGTATACATACCGAATAATACCGCAACTACAGACATGTCGTCCAACAACCCCGTGCGGTCCGATTCAGTTGCCATGCCAAGTGCTCCAAGCCGACTGCTCGAGCTTCCGAATGAGGTAAGTATATGTCTATAGTTCTAGGTTGCAGCTATTAATGTTTGAGAACAACAGGTTCTCCAGGACATTGCATGCTATCTCCCTAACGATCGTGATGTTTTCCATCTCTCCCAGTCTTGCAAAGAGATGTGGAACAAGGTCTTCGGGTCCGACTCGTCCGTCTGGCGATATCTCTTTGGTAAACACTACGATATTGTTCCGGGGAAAAATTCAGGGGAGTTGAAGATCGAATACCAAATCCGTGCCATTGTGCTGGGCGCTACGATCAGATTCAAAGAGAAGGAAGATGATCGCCAATTCCTCTGGATGGAGGTCATGCAGACTATGCTCGAGGAGTCTCTGCAACTAACCATCGTTCCTGGATCGACCCCAAAGACCCTGCAATGCATACAGGAGAAACTCGAGAAGGTGGATTTTTTGAGCGAATTTCAGAAAGAACCTTCCTCAAAACTCTTTTATGGTCTCCAGCTTGTACGCATGTTTCGTCGAATAATGGATTGGACATTCACTGATATCCATACACAGAGCCTGAGTGCGTTTGCTCTCGATCCAACGATCACCGATCACTGCCGTCGAACCGACTACGACATCAAACAGGTTTACGCATATGGAGAGAAGCTGGGCAAGGCATATATCGACCACAAAAAGCTCGATCTCGTCAAACTGCTGAACCTGCGCAATTTCTGGCAACGTCATCTTTTGAACACCTCCGAGTTCACCTTCCAGGAATCCTTCTCCGCGCTGCCTGCAGAGATGAAGCCCAAGACACGAAAGGAGCTTCCAATCGAGGAATCCAAACTAAGCTCATCGTGGCTAGGATACTACTGTGAGTATACCAACAGGGGGAAAGCCCAATCATGACCCCCAGCTGATTTCAAATTTCAATTAGCATGCATGCATCCGATATCAGACCTGCAAGACAACGAGCGCCAGTCATGCGCTGATCTTGAGACACACGGTGACGGGGTCGAGATCATGGTGAGTGGAAGGCGAGTTTCTTGCAAGGCTATATTAACAAATGTCAGACCCTTGACCTCGCAACCTCCGAAGAGTTTTGGCCCAAGCAATGCAGTAAGATCATGCCTCTCGCTAAAGGCCGCAATATCAAACGGACATATTTCGATGGCAAGCAGAGAGCCTATAGTGGCGCCCATGAGGCGGGAAACCACGTATTCGGGTTTACCGAAGAGATTGCTGTTTCACATGGTGGCTTTGAGGGATGGATGCGGATCTGTTTTATCATCGCCGAAGCGGATGAAGATGATGAAGAGAAGCATTCCCCCCTCGTAATGGACGGCCCCGGCTGGATCCATGGTTATGAGGCTGTTATCATCCCCGGTGGGCGCCTGATGCTTGGACGGTGGTTGGATATGAAGGAAACAGGTGCCAGAGGCCCATTCATCTTCTGGGACGTGTGAGGGCTAGCGCCAGTCATGCGCTGATCTTGAGACACACGGGATATCTTCTACGATTTTATTTGCTCTTTTATTTGCCTTGATTTGCCTTTATTTAATGCCTTTCTTTCTTTTGTTTTTCTGGGAGTTGAGCGGTGGACGAGATGGACGAGATAGGGAATGAAACATATCAAGCTCACCCAAAGCTCTGGAAATTGCGTAGGATTCGCTGGAATCAATATTTATGGTAACAAGCAATGGAGCTTTTGAATAGAACAGAATTATGCGTTGAGGAAGGGAATAGATGACACATAGAAATTAAAACAGCCACTACTCCTCGATATCCTTGACCTTCTCCCACTCCCCCTTGAGGTTCTCCTTCCATAAACTAACCTTGTTATCACCTCCGCTGACGGCAAGGATGTTACCGCTGAGACTCCAGCTAACGCGCCACAGAACAGTGTCGAACTCCAATGTTTGGCTGGACCACTGGCCCGGGTTAGAAGCATCAGAGGTCCAAATGCGAACGGTCTTGTCTTGCGCGGCGGAGGCGATGTAGGACTTGGAGAGGATGCTCGGGGACCAGGCCACATCACGGACCCAGTCAGTGTGTCCCTCGAGGGTTTGAGTGAGGTTGTAAGATTTGGACTCCGCGCTAAAGAACGAGTTAGTTCACGTCACAGCTGTATGCTTGGAAAGTTTTATCAATGGACATACTTATACTCCCAGATTTTGACCAGGTTGTCGCTGCCACCGGTAACAAACCGGCGCTGTTGGCCGGGCCCGGGGTTAGAGCTGATAAGGCTACCAGCAAAGGCCGCGGGGGCCCAGCTGATAGAGTTAACGCCCATTCCGTGAGCATGGAAGGTTTGGTGGGTCCAGTTGTTGTCACGGAACTCGAGCACGCTGACATGGCCGTCGGAAGAAGCGCAGGCAAGAAGACATCCACTCTCATGGGGAGCCCAGGAAACCATATTCACCGAGGCCGTGTGGAGGGAGAAATCGAAGACCTTAGTCCATGTGCTACCACCGGAGGGCGAGGTCGCATTCTGGGGCTGTTCCCGCCAGATCAGAACTTTGCCATCGTAGGAAGATGAGGCTAGAATTGTGCCGAATTTGGGGTGGGCCTAAATCGAGAGAATCGCATGGTCAGTCACATTGCGCACTATAATTGCTCATGTTTTGGTGTCAACTCACCCATGCGATACACCACACAGCACCCTCGTGGCTATCAACCACAAATGTTAGAGACAAAAGACCCAGTTGCACACATCTATAGGACTAGCTTACCCCTTCAGTGTATCGACTAGTCGGTGTGTTTCTCCCTCAATCTCAAAGATCTTTATCGTTTTGTCGGATGAACATGTGGCCAACCGGCGGCCGTAATAGTCCAAGCCAGCATCGTGCTATTCAACATACTTAGTTAGCTCACGTACATTGTGTAACCACATAGATCACCAGTTGCAATTCCTATCTTAGCACATACAATCATCTCTTCGTGTCCGGAATTCGAGATCACCTGAGGGGCCGCCTGGAGGTTTGAAGCTGTTAGCGATGGGATTGTGGAACAAGCTCAAAGCAATGTGGCGGAATATTAGTTACCATGTTGAATAAATAAAGCAAACAAGAAGTTAATAGCTGTGAAAGCGCGCGGAGTCGGGGTAGCTCTCTCCCTTTTAGCCAAACAACCTGGCCCTTCCCGTATCTTATCGTGTGCTAGGTCACGTTACCTGGATATATGCACGTGATGAGCCTCGGTCATCGGTAACCCCACGACGCGGTGGCGTGGAGTTTCTTTTGAAGTCCGACACCTTCATTCCTATATTTGCTGCAATCTGTCCTGGAAACTGATTACAGAGAGATTTGAAAACCACAGTCACCATATCACATTTCTTGCTCAGTTGGTCGATCTAAGCAGGTCATTATGGGTGATGCGCTGTGCGGGCCGTCGAACGCCCTTCAGAACTTCCAGAAGCATACCTCTGTTGATCGGACCCTTCAGCAAGACCGGTTGACTTCCCGTCAATCGCCTGCTCAGGTTGGTAGTTCTTTTGGGATTGCATTGTTTCATTCATGCTAAACGCATACTACAGGGTTTCCGATCCCAGAACCCCCAAGAAGGAATACTCGACCCGGAGTTCGCCGCATTCGAAGGCAACTTTGCTGGCCCTGCATTGCCTAACTTACAACATCCGGCCCATTTTGGAGCACCATCACATCATGCTGCAGTACACCATCCAGCTGCACATGGTGCAGCCAACGCCAGTTGGGCATCGGACTTCCAGAACTTGCAAATCTCGGGGCCCGCACACCCTGTAGCGCAACTACAAAGACCAAATATTGCGCCAGCCACGGCGCATGGCGGGTGGCACTCTGAATTCATGACCCAACAACGAGGGCCTATGTCCCAGACACAGCAAACCCCGCAAATGCATGGTGCCTATCAACCAGCTTTTGCACCAAGCTACCAGATGTATGGATCCTCCATGAATCAGATGCAGCCCTCGCAGGTTATGCAGACTGAGCAACACCACATGCAACAGTTTGACGAATCCGCCTTTGAGGCTGCCTTTGATCAGGCCCGGGCAGATATGGAGTTGCAAGGAGTCGATGCTGCTCAACTAGATACTCAGAAGCAGTCGCAGGAGACCAATGAAGTCGGCATTCCTGAGCCAGTTACCCAAGAGCATATTCGACTCGGATCGGATCTCATTCCCAAAAGTGAAAAGCAGGATCCAGAAACACGGAATCGAGATGCCGATGAACTTGCGCGGACAGCAGGGCAACTGCTCGACAGCGTGCGCAACGAAACAAGTGAAAAATTCCAACAAAGCAATTTCATGGCTTTGATGCGCCGGATTCGAGATCGCGAGGTGGAAGTTGAAGGGGATGATTTCCGCGAAGTCAGTACCAACCCGTAACGGTTCGGATGTCGGACGCGACAGAAACACCGGTATAACTCGGGCAATCTACAAGGGCTGTTGTCCTTGCTAATAAGTATTTGCAGACGGTGCAATCACTTCACCCAGGTGGTCGATACTACCCGGGCCAACCTCACCCAGACCACTCTGGCTCCGATATCCCGTCTAGCAGTAAGGAGCCACACAACCTTATCGGTAGGGTTTGATACCCTGCGCCTGTGAAATACCAGCCAATAACCTGACCAGACGTGCCCACTTCCCAGATGGTGTAGCCATCAGCAGAGATTTCCGACCGGCCGAAGAAGGAACATCCGATCATCTGGGATCCAGTTCGTTTGGTTATAGTGACACAAACGCGCTCTACGAAGGACTGCTCCACAGTCAGGGGCTGGTGGACCGCCGCAGCGTCCCGGTTTGCTTTTTTGGAAGACAATTGGAGGCGCATTTTCTACACTAGCGAAACCCTGGTACTGGATGTACATGTACCTTCTTGATTACGGTGGTGCCCATTTTGGCGAAGGTACCAGGTACATAGTTTTTCTTCTATTGATACCCCATGAACAATAGCAGTCACGTGATCTCTATTGAGAACAATAGAAATCCATTCAAGACTCCCAATTAGGCAAGTCAATGGCCCCTGACAGCCTCTGATTGGCTGTCTATTGATTGTTTATTGATTGTACTTTTCCTATTGTTTGCGCCCATTCAAACGGAATGAACAAACGCTTGACCATAAATACTCAGATAACCCGCTGTTGCACTTCTCTTCTTCACTCAGCCATACTTCACTCTAGTCATATCTACAAACACGACTAAAAATTATCATAACTTCATTCACAATGTTGCCTCCATCAGACTCTTTGCGACACCATCTAAGTAAGCTCGCCGAAGTCCGGGCAAATCGCAACACTTCTTCTATATCTACGTCTGCCTCTACGTCCACTCTAGGCACAGCTCCACCCCCGTACACGTTGTCTGTGACCAGACCCAGCGGCACAACTGTCATGAGCGTGGATCAGAACGACATGGACGAGCCATGGGCTTCCCCAATCAATATTTACATTGACAACTCGATCACCATAACTGGTGACGAAAACACCATCATGGTGTCGCCTTCTGGAGTTGATACTCCCACTGATTCAACTCCCCAGGAGGCCCCAACATCCCCCCGTATTAACTCTATGGCGGCTGTCATCATCGCTGCGCTGAGCCGCGCAAATGCCCTGAACGACGATGTGGGCTACCCCCGGCCCATCAACATTCGCGCTCTCTCGGGCATCCGGGTCAACGGCCGAAACAACAGCATTTGCGTCGGGCGCGAGGCTCGCAGGTCTGAGAATGAGACTGACAACGTCGGCGAAGAACGAAGCGGCCGCAAGCGTCGTGCCAGCTCGGTTCGTACTTTACTCCGCAAAAGAATCTTCAAGAGGTTTCATCACTGACTGATCAATACAGGAGCCTTTGGGAGCTCCGCCGACTCAGCGCTCCCGTTCGTCTTGAATATAGGTTATGAGTTGCTTTATGAGAAGCTGAATGTCTCCCGCTTTTTGCTTTCGATAATCTCAGAATGTTGTCACTTTTTGGTTTTGTTCTCTTAGACTTTGCTCACTTTTTACTCCCTTTGCTCAGCGGAGTTTTGCAATTTTTGGTTGGTTTGTTATGAGCTGATATCCTGTCCTTTTATGAATGCGTTGTATACTAGATGGCTGTTATGTAACTTTCCATCTAGTTTGATGCTTCTTCTTACTTTACTACCATGAAAACGGTGATATTTAGATTTGGCATTTAGGGCCGACGCTATGCAATAACCAACTGCCTGTTCTGGGTACTGTACTGAATCGGCCAATCGGTCAAAAATTTTAAATCCTGACCAGCAGTGTCAGATTATTGACGCTACCAGTAACCTGCAAAGGTGCTTGAATGAGGCATCGATTGCATATAATCGAGATATGGAACTACAGCTAAACTTCGTATCGCAACGTCCTTACATTTTCGCAAGATATACGGCTTTGTGTTTAGGGTTGACTTTTGGTTTTATAGCTTTTTCGCAAATCAACGAATCTCGCATTCTGACTATATATTTCGAGGTGTGTTCGTCCTAACACCTGATTTTGAGAGAAACAAAGTAACTAAGCTTACCCCCAGGACTGTCAGGTGCCCGAAGGCTGATGATATTCGCTACTTCGGCAAAACATCTGTCCGTCCCGGGAGGATCGCCCCTTCCCCAGATCTCACCCACGAACTCTGCTTTGTGGGGACACAGCCAAAGTCAATACTAGTCCGGGTAGCACCTTGGTTTGCTCCCAATCATGACGCGCCGCCTTCTCAAGGGAGAAATTACCTATTCTTTCGCCAAGGATCAGGAGAGTGACATACTCCACCATTTGGGCTACTATGGCCAACAAGACCGCTTCTTTTCATATCTCGACGATAGACGCGAGTGGATGAAAGCTACTGTTGCTCACCACTAGGGCTGAGCTCAAGCGATAAGTGCCATGTTTCAGAAGTGAGGTACTGGCTCCGTGGCAGTTTCAATATCTGCATTCCTATCTCTATCCAGAACAGTAGACAGCAACCAAGAAAACGGGTCATACTCCGATTTCCGCTCCCCTACCGTATCGGGGATGACTTTAGGCCCGGGAACGGGGATGAAAAGATCCAATGTGAAGCTGGGACCTATGCATGGCTCCAGCAGAATTGCCCGGATATTCCAATTCCACGGTTATATGGCTTCGCGTTGTCTACAGGTGAAACTGTACGAGACCTACTCCATCTCCAATATATTAATTTAATTGTTGAGAATAGTTCACAGAATTGGACCAACTGCCCTTTCCGGGCCGTTGCTTCCAATCCCTACGCCGCCGGCTACTAAACTGGTTTTGCCTCCCAGTACCTTCGAACTATATCCTCAATCCAAATCAGACGGAAGCGCTTCCTGGTCGCGTTGCTAGTGCTGGATACTTGTTGCTACAATGCATCGAAGAAACCCAAGGGACAATGCTTGCGAATACATGGTCCGAGAAACAACAAGACAGCGAGTTACGGTGTAATTTCCTCCGGGACTTGTCCAGGATCTTTCTGAGCCTCAGCAAAACCCCCCTGCCTCGCATTAGTTCATCCATCATCAACAGGGACGGGTTCCTAACTCTAAGCAACCGTCCTCTCTCGATGGAACTTCAGGACCTCGAGAATGAGAACGTTCCAACCCACATATCCCGTGACTATACATACAACACGGTTGAGTCTTACGTGATGGATATCCTAGGAGCCCATGACAGTCGTCTACGAAACCAACTAAATTCCGTGAATGACATACATGATTGCGTTTATCAGATGTCAGCACTGGCAGCAATGCGAACTCTAATTCCAGTGTTTTTTCGTCGAGATTTGTGTCGTGGGCCTTTTGTTCTCACACTTACAGATCTCCACCAAAGCAACATTTTTGTTGATGACAAGTGGCATATCACTTGTCTGGTCGATCTGGAATGGGCTTGCTCCCTACCTATCGAAATGGTCGCACCTCCTTACTGGTTGACTAATAAAGCTGTGGACATGATCGAAGCCGATGAATTTGATGAAGCTCGCAAGGAAATGATGTCTATCTTGAAGAGTGAGGAGACACAAATGTCTGGCAGTATCCTGTCAAAAGAGGTCGGGAGCACGCCATTACTACTATCAGAGGTTATGGAACAAGCATGGAAAACTGGAACATTCTGGTATTCCCTGGCACTTTCCAGCCCGACCGGCTTGTTCCATCTGTTTTATTCGCATATTCAGCCCTTGTTGTCCAAGCATCGCTCCGATGAAATTGGTGAAACCATGCCCTTTTACTGGGTAAAAGACCTGCCAAGATTCGTGATAGGCAAACTTGCTGATAAGAAGAGGTATGACATTGAGCTTCAGCAGGCTTTCGCTACAAGCATCTCTGGCGATGAACAAAGCACTGCTCAATAATATCAGTATGGGTGCGACTGGGGCTCAACAGCTTACCCACTCCACGATAAGAAAATACTTAATAAAGAGGAATATATCACATATGTGAGGCACTGGGCAAAGAGACCGAGTTGTGTAAAAATAAACAGGGCAAGAATCAGATCTTCTTTGTTCTCCATGGCTCTCTAGCCTCTACACTTTCTCGCCCTGAGACGTGTCTTTTATCGCGCCACAATCTATTTTCAGCTCTCATTCTCATGACTACAGGTCAGCTCAAGTTAGCCAATGTTCTTTCATGATTTTGAAAGTGAGCCGAGTGAAGGATCTGAACTTTGGGTTTGAATCCACAAGTCTTTGTTTGACAAATCCTGCTGCTTTGAATCCTTTAACATCAGGTACAGCGGCAGAAGGTCGCACAGACAGAGCCCAAACAAACAGCAAACAGCATAAGCCCTGTCAATATCAAAGAAATTAGCCAAAATCATATTGGAGAATCGTCCTAGTCAAATCCACTGAGAGTATACTTTGCAACAGCACACCCAATAAGGTGTTTCAAAAGCTATATTGAATGAACAGCACGGAAAAGTGGAATCGACCTATCTCCAAGGGCATGCTCCTGTCTTTGTTCTATCTTGTTTACCACCTTTTAAGTTTTCTTTGACAGCATAGTCAAACCCCCGTCCGGTGCGATGGGCTCGGCGTACACAAAATGGAATACAAATACCCTCAAAATTCTGTCATTCATACTCATCATTCATTTATGTTCAATATTCGACCTGCTAGTTACATAGAGAAAGCACCTTGGTCGTGACTATCTTCTGTTGCAAGATGCCTCCAAGGGCTACTCTCCCCCGGGCCGCAAAACTTGACGGCAAAAGTGCCCCCAAGAGGGTCAATGCAAAACGCAAGAAAAGCTTGAAGGAAGATGAAGGAGCTGCCCCGAAGAAGGCAAAAACAGAAACGGGAATCCCGCAACTCCTAAACGAGGAACTTCTTGCAGCCGATCTCAAGGTTGATTACTCGAAGACCTGGAAGAAGCCTAGACAAGAAATTCCCAAGAAACAGAAATGGCCAATGGTAAAAGATGTCATCACAGAGCTCGAAGACACGCCTAAAGGCTGGAACCCAGAGGAGCCTGATCTGATGCCCGAGTAAGTTCAACCTGCTCTAGCTAGTTGATACTGGCTCACTTCATTTTCATACTTGGTATTGACCTTTTATGCAGCGACTTCAAAGCTCAGATAGAAAGGTGTCGTGAGCGGATCGCAGAGAATATCATGCCTCATGTTTATCGGCATAAAATGAAAGAATTCATTGCAAAGCAGTCGCAACGCGAGTGAGCCATCCTATAACTCCGAATTCCCCAATAGAGACTAATTTACTCCTTCCTACCCAGGAGACTGATGGCTAGAGAGCCAGGTTTGAGTTGGCCCGAGGCACAGCGCGTAGATGATCTCAAATTCACATTGGATCAACTCGCGGGGGAGAACGACGAGTACAAGATGGTCAGTACGGTGAAAGCCATCATTGCAAGGTATCGATCCGGGGAATTGAGTTGGAATCCGGACCTTGTCACCTACTGGTATTCTGGAGTCCAGCTCTGCTTGCCGAGACCTTTCCACTGGGATGAATACCGCTACGTCCATGACAAGTACGAGGGACATGTAGGATTTTGGGTTGAAGGTGTAAGTGTCAGACCCTTGGCTGTGTCGATAGATATACTAAAACAAATACTCAGATTCTCGGGCCTGGGCCTAGCATGAGCAAGGCTTCGATGGTATGCCAACCGGATCCACGTTTGAATGCCACAATGGTAGCTATTCCCTTTCAATTGCCCTGTTGGCCACTTGAGTGATCTCTCTAATCATCCTCTTTAGGTGAGGGTTGCCCTTCGGATCCCGAAGGTTCCAGCGATTGCAGTAAGAGAAGGAGAGAGAAAAAAGGAAAAAGGGGAAAAAGACCCAAAACCATTAAGCAGGCCACCTTTCTTTGATTTCCCATTTATGGATGACACCGGGGCTACACATATGCTCCTATTCGAAGACGACATCAACGTTCTTCGGAATCTGGAAGCAGAAAGTGGACCCGTATACCCCTTGCCCCGATGCATGGGCGTCGGAGTTCTTTATCTCGCAGATGGGAACCGAGTCACCTCGATATTCCGAGAAATAGAAGTCAACATGTGGAGCTACGATGAACGGAAATGGATGTCCCCGGACTGGCAAGCGATATCCGCTTGTGTTCAGAGTGGTCAATCAACGCGTGCCGGCGCTGATCGTCTGTTAGGGTCATGGCTGCGGCACAGGTTCTATACTGGAACTTGTCCGGATCAGTCGTTGCGTCTTTGGGTTTTTGACTATAACCCTGGGATCCCACAGGGCCAGAGGACTCTTCCTACCGCGACACCGGCACAATTGAACGCGCCCTACCCAGTTGCACGTGTTCGTCCGATTGATGACTTTCCTCATCTTGACCCGAATCTGGCGACAGGGCACAGTCTGTTCTAATTTGCGAGATGGGTGGCCTGTCTTTGATTATATGTTGCGCTGCTCTGGATTTTTTGCTTTCTTGAATTTGGACCACTCATATTGAACTGTTTTCAATTGAAATGATCTCTAGCGAGGACTCGAGTCTAGTGTCCAGCCGCAGCCATGTGGAAATGACAATCTTCTCCACTTACGGAGTCCTCCAGGTCAAATCTGCCGCCCAAAAAGTTAATTAAAGACAATCTCCGACAGTGGTACGGAGGACCATACGAATAGGGCAAGTAGACCCTTCTATTCCACCAAAGGCGAATACAGACATAGCTGTCCTTTGATAGGTTGTATATACAAAAGTCGTCGAGTCATCGAATAGCCAATGGTTCCGCGGGGTAGTATTTATTTGCCTCGGTCCCACCATCTTTCCTCACTCACCCAAATCAAAAGCGCACAAGATGTTATCATACGTGTCTAAAGATCGAGCAAAGCCGGTTACTCCTGCTTTAAACACTTCTGCTTTGAACACCGAAACAAGTGACAATGGTGAAGTAAATAGGCTGCACCACATCCCAAGACCCACCGACAAAGAAGACGAACGGGAATGGCTCCTCGCGCAGATGGCGGGCGCGTTTCGCATCTTTGCCAAAATGGGATTCGCAGATGGTAGCAGCGGCCATATCAGTGTGCGAGGTATGCATGCTTGCTTTACGCGATCCTTCGCCTATATTGTACATGTTCTAACACCACTCCGCACACACAGACCCCATCGAACCCCACACGTTCTGGATCAATCCATACGGAGTCCACTTCGGCCTTCTCACGATCTCTGATATGGTGCGGGTCGACGAACAAGGCAATCGGGTCTCGGGCGTAACGAAGATCACTGGCGAATTGCGGCCGGTCAACACGGCTGGGTTTATTATCCATTCCGCAATCCACCAGAGGCGACCGGATATTCATGCCGTGTGTCATATGCACAGTCCCTACGGCCGAGCCTGGAGTACTTTTGGCCGGGGAATTGATATGCTGAATCAGGGTAAGAGGACCTGTGCCACGCACGCCACATTCCTACTGACACTATTTCCCGCTTGAAGATTCCTGCATGTTCTACGACGATCTTTCGGTATATCGAGCTTTTGGGGGCGTTGCTTTCGCCAAGGAAGAGGGGCAACTGATTGCCGATGCCCTGGGCCCTAAGCACAAGAATTTGATCATGCAGAATCATGGATTGCTTACGGCGGGCGGGACGGTTGCCGAAGCGGCGGCCTTTTTTATTGCATTGGAGAGGGCCTGTCAGACTCAGCTCTTGGTGCAGTCAGCCATAGCACCTGGGTCGATTGGTGCAAGCGAAGGAATGCTGAAGGCCTTGGTGGATGATGAAGTTGCGTATTATACTAAACAAAAAACAGGTTCTCCCGAGGCCATGTATATGCAATTTGAGCCGGAGTACGAGTTGATTGTGGAGGAGACCAGAGGCGACTTTTTGGATTGAGTTCTGCTACTTGATTCGAATGTTCTCCAACTGTTGACTTGTCCGTTACTTAATATGAGATGATTCTCGGAGATCGACACTTGATATTCCCCACTCTCGGCCGAATCACATGGTGTCGGGTGCGGGGTAACGGTCTTAAAGGCCTCGGAGGGGCAAAGGCGGTTTCACGGCGAAGGCGACGTCGTACGATCGCGAATGTTCCCGGGGTTTCTCCGGTGATGCATCATGACACTTACACTGTGCATAAATAAGCTATTTTTAGTTACTTTTTCACCGGGCAGGCACCGAACGTAAGCACCCAAGAATTATGAATGCCAGAATAATGCACGTGCACAGGGCAGTGGGTCGGATTGCATGCTTATCTCTGCGTCGTAGCACCATCGAAGCTTGTGCGTTGGATGACAACCACGTCATTGACTCGTTGGCCCATAGGGCTCCCAGTCGGAGGGGGAAACAATTGTCCCGCTTATTAACAGAAAAAAAAAGTCCGCCTTGTCCTGAAATTATTTTCCTCTGTGTTCTTATTCTGTCTTACCTCCAACTCCAGTGTTTACCATTCTTTCTTAACCCCAGGAGCCACCATACACAGGGACTGGTTCCCCGACATACCGTGCAACATGTCTGGTTCAGCAGTGGTACACAGCATGACACCAATCCCGGATGAAATGAGCATCTCCGCCTATGGAGAGGCTCGCTCAACCGTGGAAGGAAAGCCCCTCGATGCTGAGACCATTCGTAAGATGAATGCCTGGTTCCGCGCCAGCATGTACTTGTGTTTGGGCATGCTCTACCTTCGCGACAATCCCCTCCTCGAAGAACCTCTGAAGCTAGAGCATCTCAAAGCTCGACTCTTGGGCCATTGGGGCTCGGATGCCGGGCAGGCTTTCACCTGGATGCACATGAACCGTCTCATCAAGAAATACGACCTCGATGTTCTGTTCGTTTCGGGCCCCGGCCACGGCGCCCCCGCAATTCTGTCGCAGTCTTACCTCGAGGGTGTCTACTCAGAAGTCTACCCGGAGAAAGGTCAGGATAAGCAGGGCATGCAGAAGTTCTTCAAGCAATTCTCTTTCCCCGGAGGCATTGGCAGCCACGCCACCCCCGAGACACCTGGTAGTATCCACGAGGGAGGTGAGCTGGGATATTCACTCTCTCATGCCTTTGGCACGGTTTATGACCACCCCAATCTCATTACTCTGACCATGGTCGGCGACGGCGAGTCCGAGACCGGTCCCCTTGCCACCAGCTGGCACAGCACAAAATTCCTGAACCCTATCAATGACGGAGCTGTCCTGCCTGTTCTCCACCTCAATGGATATAAGATCAATAACCCCACCGTGCTTGCACGAATCAGTCACTCCGAACTGTCCTCCTTGCTCGTTGGCTATGGATGGAAACCATACTTTGTCGAGGGAAGTGACTTCGACAGCATGCACCAAGCGATGGCCGCCACACTCGAGCAATGTGTCACCGAGATCCGGGGATACCAGAAGAAAGCCCGAGACTCCAAGGTTCCCTTCCGCCCCCGCTGGCCCATGATCATCCTGCGCACACCCAAGGGATGGTCTGCTCCACGGGAGGTTGACGGCCACCTCCTCGAGGGATTCTGGCGCGCCCATCAAATCCCGATCACTGATGTGCGCGAAAACCCCGCTCATCTCAAGGTCTTGGAGACATGGATGAGGGGCTACAAGCCAGAAGAACTCTTCGACAAGAACGGCACATTGATTCCGGAACTGAGGGAGCTCGCGCCCACGGGTACCTCCCGCATAAGTGCCAACCCCGTTGGTAACGGAGGTCTTTTGCGCCGCCCGCTGGACATTCCTGATTTCCGAGACTATGGTTTCAACGATATCGTCCCTGGGATAACAACCAAGGGAGGCATGGCCAACATGGCGAAATTCCTTCGTGATATCGTCGCTCGCAACATGCACAACTTCCGACTCTTCGGGCCCGATGAGACGGAGTCTAACAAGCTTGCCGAGGTGTACAAGGCAGGCAAGAAAGTCTGGATGGGAGATTACTTCGAGGAAGATAAGGACGGCGGCAATCTGTCCCCCGATGGCCGCGTGATGGAGATCCTCAGTGAGCACACCTGTGAAGGCTGGCTGGAAGGCTACATTCTTTCTGGGCGCCATGGACTGCTCAACAGCTACGAGCCTTTCATTCACGTCATTGATTCTATGGTGAACCAGCATTGCAAGTGGATCGAGAAGAGCTTGGAAATCGAGTGGCGAGCCCGCGTCTCGTCCCTGAACATCCTCATTACCGCCACTGTCTGGAGACAAGACCACAATGGCTTCAGTCACCAGGACCCCGGATTCCTCGATGTAGTGGCTAACAAGAGCCCCGAGGTGGTCCGCATCTATCTCCCACCCGACGGCAACACTCTCCTGTCCGTGATGGACCACTGTCTCCGCAGTGTCAACTACGTGAATGTGGTTGTCGCCGATAAACAAGAGCACATCCAGTTCCTGAACATGGACGAAGCACTCGCGCACTGCACCAAGGGTCTCGGAATCTGGGACTGGGCCAGCAACGACCAAGGCCAAGACCCGGATGTCGTGATGGCGTCCTGCGGTGATGTTTCAACATACGAAGCCCTCGCCGCGACTGCCCTACTCCGTGAACATCTCCCCCAGCTCAAGGTCCGCTTTGTTAATGTGGTGGATCTCTTCCGCCTGATCTCCCCTGTCAACCATCCCCACGGATTGTCCGACGCGAGATGGAAGTCCATCTTCACCAACGACACGCCCATCATATTCAACTTCCACTCCTACCCCTGGCTCATTCACCGGCTCACCTACAAGCGTGTGGGTCAACATAACCTGCACGTGAGAGGTTACAAGGAGAAGGGCAACATCGACACACCGTTCGAGCTGGCTGTGCGCAATGGAACCGATCGATACAGTCTCGCTATGGCTGCCATTGACTCGGTTCAATCTCTTGGTAACACGGCCGATGGCGTGAGAGAGAAGTTGCTCAATGAGCAGATTGCGGGCAGGTCCGAGGCACTCGATAATGGTATTGATGCTGAACATATTCGCAACTGGAAATGGCCTTTCCCGAGAGAGTAAGGTGTCACAGTTGGGGAGATTCATGTTAATATAAATGACAGCTACCTACTCTAATTTTTTTGGCTAGACTCAATCAGAAGAGAATATCCAATCACCAGTCTCGTAAATTAGCCTTATAGACAGTAAATCACCGAATGAGTCATCTACTTAGAACGCCTAGAGTAGCTGACGCGGTTTTCTTCCTAATCGATTCACCATCCAACACTATAACCACCATAATGCCCGAAACCACCAACCACAAAATCAAATCCGACATCAAAAAAGCCTACAATGAAATCGCCTCAGTCTACCTAACCTGGACAAAACCCTCGCACGAAACCCGCCTCTCCTACCTCGACCTCCTCCTTCAATCCATCCACTCCGCAAAAGAAACCCACCAACTCAACATCCTCGAGCTAGGCTGCGGCGCCGGCGTACCCTGCACCCAGCTGCTATCCTCACACGCCCACATTAGCATAACCGCAAATGACATATCATCGACACAAATCGCCCTGGCCAAAGAGCGACTCTCTCCCTCCGTAAACCTGATCCTAGGCGACATGATGGAGCTGGAATTCAGCGCAGAGCAGTTCGACGCCGTGATGGCCATGTATTCCATTTTCCATCTGCCGCGCATGGAGCAGACTACGATGCTGCGTCGGATATTCGGCTGGTTGAAGCCTGGGGGCCGGCTTCTGGCGAATTTCTCCGAGGCCGCGTTTGAGAGCTCGACTAATGGTTCTTGGTTGGGGGCTACGGAGGGCGCTATGCATTGGAGTGGGTGGGGGAGGGAGGAGGTGAGGAGGGTTCTTGTTGAGATTGGGTTTGGGATTGAGGTTGATGAGGTTACGGTGGATCGGGAAGAGGATAATGGAGGTGGGAAGAGTGTTGGGTTCCATTGGGTATTAGCTAGGAAGGAAAAGTTATAGGAGAGTGCTCTTGAATTGTAGTTTATACTGCAGAAAATGGTCGTCTATAACGTACCCTATGTTGTAGTTAGCTGACCGCTATCGCTAACCGCTATCTAACATCTTGCGGGGGAGCTGAGAACCCCCCCCCCATATCTGACATCACCGAAATCCGATTGGAATCCCAACTCACCAAAAACACATATCCAAACAGCTCGCAAGCATGGAATTCCCCAAATCCCACATCCACCCACCCCAAACCACACACACACACACCGTGATCCTCCTACACGGCCGCGGCAGCGACGGCGGCGAGTTCGCCTCAGAGCTCTTCTCATCCGAAACCTCCAACGGCAAGAACCTGCCGTCCAACCTCCCCTCCTACCGCTGGGTGTTCCCAACATCCCGCAACCGATGGAGCACAGCCTTTAAAGAAGAGATGTGCGCGTGGTTTGACGCATACTCACTCGACAACATATACGAGCACCAGGAGCTACAGAAGGCCGGACTCCGCGAGTCCATCGCCAACATCCTCTCTATCATCGACGACGAGGCGCGCCTGCTAGATGGGAAATACGGTAATATCTATCTCGGCGGGATGAGCCAGGGCATGGCGACGGCGTTGTGGGCGTTCCTGGCTGCGTCGGCGACGGGCCGCTTTCAGGGCCCGCTGGGTGGGCTGCTGGGCTTTTGTGGGTGGTTGCCGTTTGCGCAGCAGCTTGAGTGGTTGTTGTCTGAGCCGGAGCTTGGGCCTGGGAGTGCGCAGACGCGGAGTTTGATTTCGGGGTTCTATTTTGAGCAGATTGCTGGTGCTGGGGAGGTGGTGCCTGAGGGTAAGGTTGGTGGTGGTGCGGTTTTGGAGACGCCTGTGTTTTTGAGTCATGGGGCTGATGATCCGTGGGTATCTGTTGAGCTTGGGCGGCAGGCTTGTCAGGTTCTGAGGAAGATTGTGGGACGTGTTGACTGGGAGGAGTTTACGGGTGCGGAGGGGGATGGGCATTGGGTTAAGGCGCCTGAGGGCTTTGATCATATTCTG